TGTCTGAGATGTGATAATGACCGATCTTAATCACTGGTTCACCACAGGACCTCTTTGTGTAACGCAGCCCATTATGCATGATAGGCATGATACTTGTACTCTATTTAATGAATAATCATACATTGGCAGTCGATAGCCCATTCCTCCCATTCACCTTTTTTACCCAATCCTCCTGCATGTGAACGATTGTCCTGCTCCAGCCCATCATGTCCATCCTTCAACTTTCTTGATCCGAACGGATTTGGTTGAGTTACGCTCAAACACAGAAGTATCATCCAATATGAGAAAAATCATTTTGCAAAGTTATTTGTAAACTGCCAGCTAGCAGCCCATTCCTCCCATTCACCTTTGTTGCCCAAAACAATGCATGTGAACGATTGTCCTGCTCCAGCCCATCGTCTCAATTCTTCAACTTTCTTGATCCGAGGGGATTTGATTGAGCAATGCACACACAAAGAAACATCATCCAACACAAAGAAGCCTACTTAATTTCCAGCTCTTCCGCTTACAACACCCGCGTTTCTTGACACTTCACCTTCTCTTGTGCAATCCTCGACGACACTCAAACGTAACAGCGTTCATTCCAGCAGTTTCAAACAGCAAGGTCTTCGTTGTCTTCAACAGCGTTCTTTACTTTCAGCAACATGGCTCACAGCCTTTTTCACCTGCACAGCAAAATAGCCATTGTTTTATTTACGCGTAGCGACTTGCTTCAATGCATACGATTGCTTATGGATATGGATATGGATATGGATATTGGTATGTGCATGGGATGGAAGGATGTGGATGTATACAACGCGTGGAAAAGGAGGCTTGATCTTATGTACCCTTTGTCAACTTGACCTTGATGCTATCGTCCTGAACGCTTGGCGCATCCAATTATCGTGCTCACACGCTATTCCAGGGCAGCTGCTATCATCATCCTTTGTGCGACCTGTCAACCAAGTACAACCATCATCATCCAACTCCATGTTTTGACTCGTCATCATGCATACAATTCACTATCACGCATCAAGTGCCACCTCACGTCCATTCATCCACCTTTGCATAAGGCACATCCAAAGGATAGAACCTTCCCAAAACGATGTATCTCCTCTTGCGAATGACATTGGATTAAAGGATTACTTTGAACGAATTCGAGGTTACGTTGGCCAACCGTTTCTATGGCGTAAGGGACCTGCGTTCTTCCTAAATTGAACTTCATCGTGCGTGGGGCTTGGTGTATTGTGTTATAGAAATATTGATCCAGGGCTGTAGAAGTATATCCACATGTAAATGCTGTGATAAATAAAGAACAAAGAGAAGAGATTGGGTCTGATTGATTCATTGTGCTTTGAACAAAGACTGCATTCGAGATTATCACTTCCTTTTCTTGTGATTAGGCCTTGTCAATAATGTCATAACACACGTTCTTTTTTCGTGATTTAGATATGTAAGATAGTCATTTTATTGATACGTATACGGTGGGAGATGATCGTGGATAATAAACTGTAGTCTATAGGGTGTGCCTCTTAGAGTGGGTGATATGGCACGTTCGATGTGAACACATCCAGTCTTTGAGTCCACTTTTTCATGATCAAATCAATATATGCATTATGTTTAGACCTTGTGCAAAAGACGAATAATGGAAGGAAGTGGATGAGACATACAACCACCACCTGCAGCAGTATGATCGGCTTTTCAAATGGGGCAGTAGCTAACGCAGTAGCAAGCTTTCTTCAAGCGACTGTAACTCTTCCACACACCATCTCACGTCTCACTTGAATTACTCAACCATGGTACGTGTTCATTGACACGTTATGGGCATCTGCTACTTTACATACGTGCAAGTTTTATTCGGATACGAAAAAGACACTAATACGACAATGTTGGCAATGACAGGCCGCCTCCAGTTCTCAAGGAATCAACACGTTGTTGGAAGCCGAACGTGAAGCTGCCAAGATTGTGCAAAAGGCAAAGCAATGTAAGCATATCAGGACTTTATCCAAAGGTGGTGGGATGGGATGTACAAGTTGACTCACAAGTGCGTGTATGTGTGTGTGCGTTTATCTAGACCGTATTCAGCGTTTGAAGGATGCTCGTTCTGAAGCTACCAAGGATATTGAAGAGCTCAAGGCCCAAAAGAATCAAGAATATCAAAACTTTGTTGCCGAGGTAAAGCTTGTAGTAACATGGATACGAGTGATCAAGGAGGAGGATTAAATCAATGTTATCTATAGCATGCAGGTGCTTCTGATGCCAGCTTGAGTATTGTTAACCAAGAGATGGATGCCAAGATTGCTGAGATCCAGGGTGCATTTGCTCAAAACAAGGATAAGGCTGTTGAAAAGATGCTTGATGCCATTGTCAATGTCCAGGCCAAACCTCATGTGAATGCCCGTGCATAGAGAGTATACATTTTGTATTCCTAGTTTGCTTGTTACCCCAACCCTCTCGTTCTTTTTCTGTAACCATTAGAAAGTGAGATCAACATAGTTTTATTGGTTTCTGAGGCACATATGGATTGGTTGTATATAATTTTCTCGCGTTACATTTGATACAATCCCCCAAAAAAGGAATGTGAGGGAGCTTACATACAGAAAAGAAAAGATGGAAACAATTACAAAGAAGTGGATCATATACACAAATGATTAGAAAAAGGGGAAGAAGAGAAACATAGAGAGAGAGAGAGGGCATGCGAGGGTGGTAAATAAGATGAATGAAAGCATGTGGTGTGTTTGTAGTGAAAGGAACGAGTGATGACAGACAATATTAAAAGTGTGAAAGGGAGCGTGTGTGTGATATCAATGAGAAGAGAGAAAGAAAGAGAGAGATCAAGGAACCCTCTCTGTGTGTGTGTGTGGATGTCGATCGATAGGATTAAACACGGTCGTCGAGCATGTCATCGGGTCCCTTTAGAACACTGATCATCACAGCAGCTGTAAGCACATTGATGAACTTGTACCATTTCCAACTTTGAGCACAAGCAGCTTGTGTCCATTGAGCAAGGGTTGTTTGTGATTCACGACGTTGGATCTCGGTCATTGTTCCTTGAATCTCGGAAAGTGGCCGGCAGCATAAATCGGGATGCCGAAGTAGGAAATCCATATCTTCACCGAATCCACCATCGTCAGCATTATCAGAGAGGCTATCGAGGAAACTCATGGCATCATCAAGTACATTTCGTTCCTCATAAAAGTACTCCTTGGGTGTGGTTGGAGACAATGGATGACGGTGTTCATTGAGACGCTTGGCAAATGCTGGTGCAACCTCGTACAGAGCACGTGGGCGAGATAATGATGAAGCAGATGACAATGTGCCAATATCCGAAAGTACATCATCGCAGCTGCTATCACTATCCTCATCGCTATCATAGGTCGCTTCACGAACACAAGATCGGGAGTAATAAGGTTGTTGGCGTTGAAGACGCATACGGCGTATGCGATGAGTACGTTGTTGCTCCTCAGTCATAAAGCTAGCAACGCTGCAACAATCATCATCCACATCGTCATCATCACGATCCTGTTCCATTGGATAGCTTGAATGGCTGCTGATGGAGCTGTTGCTACGGCTGAATAGGGACGACATGAGGGATAAAGAGGATAATCTCGACATTGAGAATCCAGAAGTAGGTGCTGGCTTGTCACACAACGTCGTCGTATTCTCGTCCGTTGCTGTTGCCGTTGTTGGTGCCGCTGTTGCTGTAGCAGGGTTGCTATGCTTTTTGAGTTGATCCAACTGATCTTGGTGTGCTTGGAGACGACGTTCTAACGCTTCGAGACGGCATTGCTGGTTGCCATCGTCATCATCCATTTTGGCGACGGCATCAATGGTAGCGGCAGCGTCAACACGTAGGAATTCAAGCTGGCTTTGCATTTCAATAACATTGTGCATAACATTGGAGAGGCGTTCTTCCAATAAACGTCGTCGCAAACGTGCGGTTGCCTTTTCGATAAGTTCATCTTTGAGTCGCTGTTCGTCAAATAGGGTTTCCTTGCTATTGTGACCAATAATGTGGGGTGCAACCACTTGTGAGAGGTCAAAAATATCAGCGTCGGCGACAGTGCGTCCTTGTTCGGCTTTTATCATTGAAACGGACTAGAATAGTTGCAATGAGTAAATAAGAAAAAGAGAAAAAGAATGTGTACAAGCTCATTTCTCCCTTTGCTCCTCCTGCCGTGTCTGTCATTTTTATATCTCAATGCGCTACACAATCATTGTTGCTCTTCTCTCTCCCCCCAATAAACACCACATCGAACCATATTTTCATGATTGTAGTACCTAAAATCCAAGATGGTTGAGGATAAAAAAGACAAATGGGAAGAAGAGTGTAAAAAATGTAAAAGCACCTCTCCCCCTGAATTGAGATGTCTTTAATTGAACCGGAAAAGGACGCCCTTCCATGGGCCTTGCTTGACCCATCAAAATGCTTGCATTGGATGAGATTGAAACGCCGATTGAGTGCATTTAGTTCCTTCCACTTTGTATAACTCTAGAACGTGTCAAGCTATATGCTGACATGCAATCGGAAAACATTTTCTAACATCATGGATATTGTCTGTGTGGAACACAAGAGGAGTGGGGGAAAAGGAGGATGAAAAATCAACGGAGGTGTGCGGAGGAGGAGAGGAATTGCTGTTGTTGGTGCTGCTGCTGCTGCAAGAAGGGGATGTGTCAAGGAGAACTCAGAGGACGATGATGATGATGGTGGTGGTGGTGATAAATGGTGGGGTAAAAATGATAATGCATTTACCCCATTTGTTGACAACGAGATTATAACTATTTCTCCTTCTGGTTGGGGTTGTAGTAAGGAGATCACAATCCATCCGTGGCGCACGGACCAATCTTCTTTTTACTCTTTGCTTGTTTATCCTTGCCTCGTGCCGAAGTATCCTCATCCGTGGACCCGAATCGAGTCATTTGTACACACAATGCAAACAACCCCCCCCCCAATTATCCCATGTTTATCTCTTAATCAATCATACCATGTTGATATCCATCTATGGTGCTACACTCTCGCAATATGAGCTTAACATGTGTAACTTGGCGTGAAATGAGTTATCAAAAGTACATGATGTAGTCTTCTTCCATCTAAAAATGGATGATTCTCCATTCTGGATGTACGTAATACAGTTAATGATATGCTCCATGACATCAAGAGTGTAATTCAGTAGTCGACTTGCATCAAATCAAAGCAGAAGATGCCCATCCCTGAAAGGTGTTGAACCTATTACATTGGAGAATAAGACTTGAGTAATAATGCAGCCGTAGCACAAGTGGTGCGCTTGCATATAAGTAGATCATCACCTTATTATTCCCTTTGTCTAATGTATCATCCTCGCAATTATTGCAATCACCAAATTAAAGATAAAAACCATGACATCAACCCTCCAAAAAGATCGCGTTTCCTTGCACATGCATACATACATCTCTCTCTCGCGCCCAAAATGAACAAGTCAACCATTATCATTACCTATGGGATGTTGCCATGACTACAAGCGTTGCTCTCAATGTCCTTAGTAAGGCAATGATGATGTCGGCTGACAAAACAAACACGCCCAAGATAAGGGTTCAGCCGTTACTTAATGTTAAACTAGCCTGCATAATGCCTTGATAATCTCCTTGCTGGTGACGATATATCACATCATCGTCATCATAAAAAGTGCTCGATTTCATGTCGTAGCCATGGACTGAGCAAAAGTAAATATACATCATAGTGCTGATAAAGACCCCAATCCTCCTCTGAAATGTATGTATGTTGATCATTGCCAAAACAACCAAGTATGGCCTCCCCCAACATGCATGGTAAAAGAAAAAACATAGTGCTGTTCATTCAATGTTGGGTGGTGTAAATAATACATGGCGGTAAAATACAAATGGGCTGATTTAATGCGTTTTATCAGGACGAGCGACAACGGTTTCGAGCTTATCCCCTAACTTGACAAAGGTGTGTCGTAACACGCGTGAGTCGACCAGTAACTTCTTTCCAAGTTCTTGTACGATCAGTGGGTTTGCGTCAAAGTGCATGAGCCAATATCTAACGATCGCAAAAGGTGGATCAGAGGTTAGGGTACCCATTGGAATCACTGTTTGCTCAACACTCACTGTCCCTCATTGAAGTATTCTTGGTGACGCTTGATACGATGTGGCAGAGGACGATCACCCCAGTTGTCAAAGCCTCGAACGACACCACCCTTCTCCAAGATTTGTGTAGCCGAGGTTCGAATGAGATCTTTGAGATTGCCCTGTTCAAAACGGTCGACCATTAGGACTCCAAGCATGTTCATTGTTGTTGTCATTGCTGCTGTAATATCGTACCTGGGCAAGGTGTGAACGGGTAATACAAACAAGCTCGTAAAAGGGCATGATGGTCTATCAAAAATTTGTAGGGAAAAGAAAGAGACACAGAGAGAAACAAACGTCGGCAAATTGACTAGGCTACCTAGCACCTCGTCTCCAAGGCAACCCATCCCACATATTCACTTCCGATTGTAATAGTAAATAATGGCATTGTTGATCACCAAACCCATGCCCCTTCCCAATTACGCATATCGAAATGATAGAATAGAAATAAAAAGTTATCTTATAAATGATATCAGTGCACTATGATTATCATCATGATAACAATGATGAGCGCCAGGAGGTTGTGGAGCAGTGTTGGAGTTGTATTGTGGTGCTATACTTTTATACCAAAGGGCTGTCGTTGGGATTATGAATAAGGATACTCAACAAAGATGCGGTTGCTAGGCAACCTCGTAATCTAGGTTATCCTGCCAAAAATGATGTCATATTCGTCATGAATTTCAAAGTCCTTGATGGTTTGCATGCAACATGGTATTCGAAATGAAAAAGATAATATTTACAAGAGGAAGGTGATAAAGGGGACAAAAAGGGTAAAATGGGAAACTAGCTATTTTCATCCATGAGTGGTGTAGAAGAAGAAGATGATGATGAGGAGATGATGTCGGCTTTGGTACCTGCATTGACCATGAGCGATATGATGTCCTTGTTTTTCTGTTTGATCATTTCATCCATTCCTCGTAAAGCACCCGAACTATTTGGATCTGCACCATGTTCAAGCAGCAGCTTTATGATAGACTCGTTGGCGGAACGTAATGCTTCTCGTAACGGGCTACCTTCCAAGGCATTTGGATCGGCTCCTAGTTGTAGCAAGTACTCGACGATATCCATAGCATTTCGACGACATGCATGTCTCAAAGCACGATCTTGATGTACACGAGGATCCGCTCCTGCATTGATTAAAAGCTTGATCGATGTGAGATCTGAATTGATGACGGCGTATTGTAATGGAGCATTTCGGTTGGCCTGAGCATTCGCACCAGCATCCAAGAGCATCTTTACAATTTCAGTGTGGCCAGCATGTGCTGCATTTTGAAGGGCTGCGTCATTGTAAGCATGTACATCGGCTCCTGGCAACAAGAGTTCCACCAATTCAACGTGGCCATGGAGACAAGCCCGTCGCAAGTGCCTTTCTTTGTTGGAATGTACGTCGCACCCATATTGTTCCACCAAATGCCTTACAATATCCACTCGATTCTCTGCACATGCAAGCATCAATACTCGATCCTCTCCATCAGGTTGGTGTATATCGGCTCCATAGTGTTCCACAATCAAATCAATGATAGATGCTGCTCCTTTCATGGCTGCAACGTTGACAAAGTGACCCAGTGTTTGTTTGGAAGGTTGGATGCCGTCAAGAATGATCGTACACAAAGCCGTATCTTGAAGTTCACATGCTCGCCAATAAAGCCAGTCGCCATCGGCTCTCGGATTACAGTTCATACGCACCAGACAATCCACCACCTTGTGATTGGCAATCTTGAGTGACATGGCCCGTTCGCCTAGTGCAGCATTGGCCCCGAATCGCCGCATAATATAAAGCCCTCGGACCCATGAGGAGGTTGACATTTGCCAAAACAACTTGCACGTCAATGGCAGATTGGGGTTTTGCGCAAGGACAAAGATGTGTGTCAATAGCTCGGTGGGTAATTCGCTGAATGCCTCGGTATTATGCATCAAGAAACGTAGAAAGAAACAGCTCACACCTGGTCAGCTTCCCGTACAACCCATTTACGTCTTCCGACAGCATTGAATCTTCCCACTCTTGCGTACTCCACCGATGGATATTAACAGCCCTTGTCATCCCTGGTGATTCTATTCGCACACTTTAAAAGGAGTACACGTATGTATGTATATATATACACACACACACATGTATGCAAATGCGTAGAAATTAATTGGATTGTTGCTGTACTCTATTATAACAAGGTTTTCTCCATGCATGTAGTAGTCCTAGCACCCCCTCCTCCAAGTAGTCCCCATTTCACAAATAACAATGACTCAATGCTTGTAATGACATGAACAATGAATAAAGCAATCGACTTTCATTATGAAGATAGTGACGAAGATATCTAGTTTGTGCCACCATACATCATTCTCAGTTTCAAGTCGTGCAACCATGCCAACAGCTGCCTCTTTTATGCATAACATATACGCTCTTCTATTTACATTTCAATGACAAGCTTTCCTTGCTGGTGACCATTCCTCATGTAATCGATTGCTGCATCCACATTCTCCAAGGTTAATCCCTTCCACACCTTGGATACAATAGGCTTGATTTTGTACTTGTCAACGAACGCTACCATCTCTCTAAATTCACGTCGTGATCCCATGGTGGACCCTCGTAGCTCCAGGTTGCTAAACACATGAATCATTGTAAAGACAATGCCACCCTTGTCATTGGTTTTCATTGTATTGCCAGTAGTATCTGATGTTTGCCCATAATTCACCAGCGTACCACCAGGTCGCATTACTTTGGGTAACCCTGCATAAAACGATCCACCAGCACCATCAATAACGGTATCGATTTTGGCTCCATTAAGTTGCTTGAGCAAATCATCAAAGCAATTGGCTATACATACAAGAATTCGTGTCAAATCTCGTACATGTATAGCTTACAAACACTTACGATCCTTGTAATTGACACCACCTTTAGCACCCGCTTTCTTTGCATGCTCGATTTTATCTTGTTGCGATGATGTGACATATACATTGGCACCTACAGCGACTGCAAATTGAAGCGCATAAACGGCTACACCACCTCCAATGCCAGTGATAATCACGTTTTTTCCAGCTTTGACATTCCCACGAGTAAAGAGTGCACGATACGCAGTTAATCCAGCAAGTGGTAACGACGCAGCTTGAGCTGTAGTCAAATGCTCAGGACATGGTACAAGGTCTCTATTTTCTACCACCACCTCTTCGGCAAAGGTGCCTGATACATGTCTTGTGTGTTACCCAAATAATGTATGCATTGAACAACAAACAACACACACACACACATACATACCAATGGCAGGTAGCAATCCAAGAATGTAGTAATCCTCTTCGGGTCCAAGAGGATCCGTATCCCAGCCAATGCCTGGATTGATAAGTACACGTTGTCCTTTCTTGATAGATCCATCGCCACTTGTCTTTTCTACAACACCCACTCCATCGGATCCAAGAACTGATCCTGTATGAATGGGAAGTGGATAGGCATCCTTCAAAATCCATACGTCACTAAAAAGGGTGTTCATCAATACAATGGCAACCTATATCTTTTATGGGACAAAGGCTTCTTTACCGATGATTGAACGATCCTCCTTGGATCTTTACGAGGGATTCATTATCCTTGGGTTCACGCACCTTGCTGTCATCAAGTTCATAGCCGTATGTGTAACCTGTGGTTTTGGGACGAGGCTTATTGTTTAATACGATAGCAACCATTGCGAAGAATGAGATTATAGAACAAGGGCTGTTCCCTATCCCAGGATATATATTCGTATTCGGATACCCATGTTGAAAATCTTTAATTGTCAGCGGTCTTCCAAGTAGTCATCTCATGGCCTTTTACCAGCGGCGGTCACCATGGCAACCACAACTTGCTACCGCTATGAGCTGAGCTTGACTTTTGGCGACAATCCCGACGTCGTGATTTTCTTTAAGAGCTAACGCTGAATATATGTCTGAAATGCTTTCTGCTTTTCACAGGAGGATTTCCTTGGTTTTCGCGAAGACGATGGTTTTGTGGTGGTAGCATGTAGATACACGTCATGATCCTTTATGATGATGACACTGTTGCGAGATCACATACATTCAATTGCAAACATTTGTAAACGAAAAGGAAAATGATAAACACCTTCTTATGGTGATGGGTTGGATGGGCTTCATACATCACGATGAGAAAAGTACAATGATACGTATACTTCGATTATACCCATCCTGATCAGAAGCACGATGGTCGTACAAAAGTGCAGGAACAGCAGCAGCCGACAACAACAAAAAGAGATTCATTTACAAGAAGCAAGCAAAAAATCTACACTTTATACAGAGGATGATAATAAAAAAGAGAGAAAATCTAGTTCTCCAACATGCTGTGACCAGTCATTTCTTGAGGGATATCCAAACCCATGACGTTGAGAATAGTAGGGGCAACATCAGCAAGGGCACCTTCGGCATCCTTCTTGAACTTGTACTTTTCAGAGGTCATGACGAATGGAACGGGTGCACAGGTGTGGGCAGTGTGGGGGCTTGAGTAATCATCCGACAACATCTTTTCGGCGTTACCGTGATCAGCAGTGACAAACAAAATGTAGCCGTGCTTCTTGCATGCTTCATAAATCGTGCCAATGGCCTTATCGGTTGCTTCGACACCCTTGATGGCAGCTTCATACTTGCCAGTGTGACCCACCATATCAGGAGGAGCAAAGTTGCACATGACAAAGGGATACTTGCCGCTAGCAACCTCCTCAGCAACACGATCACCCACCTCTTGAGCACTCATCTCAGGCTTCAAATCATAAGTGGCCACCTTGGGAGAAGCAATCAAACCACGCTCTTCCTTATCAAATTGAGCCTCGCTACCACCATTGAAGAAGAAAGTAACGTGGGCATACTTTTCAGTCTCGGCAACGTGCATTTGAGGGATACCATTCTTGGCCAACCATTCGGCAAGGACATTGTCCATGGTTTGAGCAGGGAAGGCAACCTTGAAGGGGAAGTCGCCCTTGTATTGAGTCATGGTGTATTGGCCAAGGTTTTCAGGCACCTTGCTATCGAAGGGGCATGGAGCAATACCAAAGGCTTGGTTGATTTCACGCATACGATCGGAACGGAAGTTGAAGAAAAATAGCGTGTCATTGTCTTGAACACGGCCAGCGTCCGACAAGATGATTGGCTTAAGGAACTCATCGGTTTCACCCGCTTCGTAACGAGCCTCCACAGTCTTAATAGCATCGGTAGCCTTTTCACCCTCACCCTTGGTCAATGCATCAAACGCAACCTTGACACGTTCCCAACGCTTGTCACGATCCATGGCATAGTAACGACCCACAATGGTGGCAAGGGTACCATAAGCAAGTCTTTCTTCAAGTTGCTTAAGATACTTGGTAGCCGACTTTGGAGCAGTGTCACGACCATCACCGAAAAAGTGAATGTAAACTTCAGGCACACCAGCAGCCTTGGCAGCTTCCACAAGCGAGAGCAAATGCTCAATATGAGAATGAACACCACCATCAGAGACAAGACCGAGCAAATGAAGACGACCGTTGCCAGCCTTTGCACGTTCAAAGGCACCCTTGATGTTTTCAATTTCACCAAAACGCTTCTCCTTCATAGCAAGATCGATACGAACAATGTCCTAGAATTACCATTTTTTCGTGAATACACAACAATGACAACGTTCCTTGTTCCTCGTCATCCAAAACTTTACCTGGTACACAACACGACCAGCACCAATGTTCAAGTGACCAACTTCAGAGTTACCCATCAAACCATCAGGGAGACCAACCGAAAGACCATGTGCAGCAATATCAGCATAAGGATAATCCTTCTTGAACTTGTCCATGACAGGTGTCTCAGCGTTACGGATCGCGTCACCCTTAGGATCCTCAACAGGGGAAACGCCCCAACCATCGATACAGATAAGGCAGACCTTTTCCTTAGGTTCTTGTTGGCTCTTGGGCATTTGTCCTCCTCCAGGCATGGTGAATGATACTTGTGTTGTGTGTGTGTAAAGAGTAAAAGAGAAGAAAGAGGAAAAAAGAAAGAAAATCAAACCCAACGTAAAAGATGAATTTGTCGGGGATCCATCACTAAGTTTGCATGACGTCAAACTTTAGTAAAGGAGGAGGAGCAGCAGTGTGAAAGATACGTAGATAAAAGATAGACCGTCGTCAAGAGGACAAGCTGGTACAAGTTGATGTGATGCATTATTCACTCGATCTCCCGGTAGATTCCCGCATTCTCCCGCTTGAGCAAGTTTTTGTTTGTTAAAGAGGGGGTCTTTTATTTACAAAAGGAACCTTTTTACACTTTTACACATACACGCCTTCTCTCCTTCTAATGCAAAAGTAGCCTTGTTTGTGTCAAAATGTGCCATTGTCGTGTCGGGTGATCCGGCAAATCCAAGACGGCATAATTCTGTTGTAGCATTTGATGTCATATGATAATCGCGGTTTCTCGTACCCAGTTCAGCTGCTGATTCGGATCCGATAACCCACCCGCTCGTGGTTTTATTTGACAAAAGATTCAACTCATCATCTATTTGGCTGCTGTGGCTAGCTTTCGCAAATCACTACCAGGTAATTGATCCTTGCCGCTGCTATTAAAGTTGACCAAGCATTCGAGCTTCCAACGTCGCCATACATCCTCGGAAGGAAAGCCCATCTTTTGCCATTCAGGGGTTTCTTGTGGCTCCTCCATGTTGTCTTTTTTGTCCTCTGCTTCTTCTTCCTCTTCTTCCTCTTCTTCTTCCTCTTCTGGAAATCGTTGCAAGAATGTATCTCGATGGTCGTTCATCAAAGCATTCACGAAATTGGCTGCCCCCACTGCAATTTGATCATGGCGTTGTCGTCGTTTTGACCATTGATCGAGTCGTGTCCTTAAAAGATGCTCATCATCCTCGTTATGTTGCCCTTGATGTTGTTGTTGCTCTAGTGCTAGTTCTCGTGCTAATGCTGCCTGTGTTTCCAATTCGAGCTTTTCAATGTCGGGTATCAACTTGGTGCGTAGCAACACGCCCAAAATGTTCGTCTCGTGCTCAGTCGTTGTAGGTGTGTAAGGATGTAACATAAGCTTCGGCAGCGTGGCGTTGCTCCCTGTCTCGATATAGCCGTAAAAGTCTTCAGAGAGTGAAGCGAACTTGGCTGTAAGCATGTTGAACTTGTTGAGCAAATCGGGCCAGTTGAATGGGTATTTGGGCTCCTTCAAGTACGCAATTTGTGATGCAAAGGTCTCTTGTAATGAATAAAGCTTGCTTCGTAATGCTTCGAGCTCTTGGATTGTGTTGGGATCGAGGCTGGCTTGTGCTTGTTGATGGAGTTCCATATTGGTTGCAGGAAAAAGAAAAGGGAGAAGAGAGAGAGAGAGAGTTGAGTTGGTCTCACCCACACGCGACTCCCGCTTCATAGCAAACACACACTCACACACACGCACATACACGCATCAATGTACCTCCCCATCCATCACATGATATCGTATTGAATACTTTATTCGAGAGCATGTATGACTATAGATACATTTAAACAGTGGGAGTCAATCAAAGGTCGGGATGTTGTACACACACGAAAATGCAAAAGGAGCGCGTATCACACAAAAACTCGTCGCTATTTTTCGTTCCCTTGATATTCGCGCCATGCAGGTCGACTTTGCATTGACAGGTTCATTCACTTTGGACACTGTTTTCGAGACGATCAAAGGTAATACATCAATGACAACTACGGCATGAACTTACTTACCGAGTGAGTTGTCAGAAACAAATGGGATCGATGCTCTTCCACACCAGCAAGATCAGCCAGGTACCTTTTCAAACAACACAACGCTATTGCTCGATGCTAAATACAAGCTATAGAACTCTATCTAGCACCTGCATCGGATCAAGTGGTTGTCAAGGATGTCTTTGACGTCAACTTTCGGCTTATGGACATACTCGCTTTGGAGGACATACCCCTTCATCATATACTGGGACCGAGTTGGCAATGGTAAATTAAAAAGCGACGAAGAAGAAGTTGGGACCTGATTGACTTTTTCGAGTAGTATCAACTTGGGTGAATCTGAATGTCAAGGATTGGAGACCATTCTTCGTGTAATTTGCAAGAACAAGGCAAGTGGATCCATTGGTTCATTCATGCTCGTGTAACTGATGCATTTATATACATTAGGCAATGCACGGGCTATTGTTGGAATGTCACCAAGATAAGACTGAATTACTGGAACAAGGTGTAGAAAACCCATTTACTGGAGGTGAGTATTATCATCACCAAAAGCTTATTCTTTGAGAGGTGGGAAATATTGACTTTTTATATATTCGACAAGGCACACCTTATCCTTTGCCATCACCATCCTATCTCTTTTTATATCCTCAATTGGACGCTGATCAAAACGAGCAGTTTCTTGTCAAGTTGTGTCATTGGCCCGGCTATCATATCGATTCATTGATTGTGCAATGCAGCCAATGGAGCTCTACTTTACCAAGTACCGAGGGATTGATGGATGAATGGGACCTGTTATCAGCATATGATGAAGACGTATCAAAGAGAGAAAAGCAATTCCAACGACCCGAATTCTTTGCCAAACCACGACCCAAGTTGATTGCCAAGAAACGGCAGACGATTGATCCGAGAGCAGCAGCAGCACTCAAAAAGAACCAAGATACCAGTAAAACAAAAGCTACCACATCCTCAAGCACTAGTCGAAAAGCAACGACACCCAATCGAGCAGCCAATAAGGTAACTATATGCCCCCCACCCACTTTGTTGAGAATAGCATCTCACATCACATGTTCTCTTACTCTCTAGTATACCGTCAAGAAGGCTACAGCAGAATCATGGGAAAGTGAAAACAAGAATGCAATGAAACGACGCGTATGGGATCGAGTGATGAAACGAGGCTTTGACAAACGATCTCAGCAAACGAGGTTATTATTTCAGCAGATATATACCAGTGTCCAATACGTCTTTGTAAGTATGAGTGTATTAGGATGGTTCACTCTCTGTAAGCTAATGATGATTTAAAAAAGCGTCGAACCATCAAGGATGAAGAAGTGGATACAGCAACTATGATTCAAGCCATTGAAGCTCATCTTGACTTTTACGACCAAATGAACCAGTTGACACAAGGGAAATAAGAGGTTGTACGACATTGACAGCTTGGTTGCCTCCTTAATCATGTGTAGCTAAGCATCCATAGCAACAACCACAACAACACTACCACCATTGTAATACCTTAACGACCACAATGAAGATGTATATATACCCCGTGTAGTTTTATATAAAGTACATGATTAAAAAAGACTTTTTCTATTGTCATCCAATATCAGATCAATCAATAGGGGAGGGCACTGGTTTCGCTGTATCCGAATTTACTAGGACCTCGTGTTGGTGGTGTGGTCTGGTGCTCTCCGCCTGTTGTTCTTTCGCGACATCTTTTGTGACCATTCAAAGAGACGACGTGCGGGAAGGAAGGATACAAATGTAAGCAAGGGATGAAAGAGCCATGGCGTGCAAGCCAATCACGAAAAAGAGATTACGTACTAACTTTATTCTTTTTTGACAGAAGCAACAAAGCACTTTTACACAGCAACCACCCCTCCAATGCCTTCACACGGATCACGTTCCATGACAGCTTCCGACCAATCTGATTTGAAGAAACTCAAGTCGAGATATTCATCACAGCTGGCGACGCTTAGAGAGTTATTCGCCGACTGGTCTGACGATGACCTGTTGTTTGCACTTCAAGAAGTAGAAGGAGATCTTGACCTGGCCATTGATCGAATCAGTGAAGGTAGATAGTACCCCATATCTCGGTCGATATTCGTGTTGTTTACCTTGTTGGACGCGAATAGGTCACGTTTCTCAATGGGGCGAAGTCAAGAGTCGAAAGTCCAAGAAGGAAGCTGCACAAAAAGCCAAAGCAGCAGCAGCACCTGTACCCCCTTCTTCATCAAATCAAATGTCATCTTCTTCTTCTTCATATCGACCCGAGCGTACACAACCACCAAGAGGAAACAATGATCGATCAAAGAGAGGTAAATTTAATAGCATTCCATCATCAACATCATCATCTTTATTCATTGAATGTTGTATATATTAGGAGGACGTCATGGTTCTCGAGGACAACGTCAACCCACTACACAATCTCAAGCACCAGCTGCAGCAACTTGGGGAACCTCAGCACCAACAAAATCTTTTCAACCAGACAATGGATCATGGGCATCAATTGCTTCTACCAAGATGAATGACAAGGGATGGAATGCCAATACTGAAAGTGGCAGTGGATGGGATGCTGCTGCTGCACCTAACACCACCAATGGATGGGATGATAAAGAACCAACACAAGAAATCAAGACTGAATCTGAAGAAAAACCAGCATCCACTACTGCAGAAGCCAAAACATGGGCAAGTCTTCTCAAGTAAGTTATTTATCACTTTTATGAGTGTATGTATTAAGAGGGACAATTAGATCAAAGCCTAAGCCAGTTGAACCCGAGCAACCCAAACAAGAACCTGAGATTTCAGAAAAGAGTGGATGGGATGAACCCAAAGATGCAGCAAAGGATGGTTGGGATACCAAAGATGAAGGTGGATGGGATACCAAAGATAATTGGGACAACAAAGACAGCTGGGATGCACCTTCAGTACCTGCCGACCCATGGACATCATCTACTACCGAACCTGTGCAAGAATCAGTTGAAGCAGCAGAAGCACCTAAAGAAAGTGAACCAGAGCCTGTCAATGAACCAGAGCAACATGTCGATACTACAACTACTATTGAGGATGAGACACCCAAAGAAGAGCCTGTTCCCAAAAAGTCATCTGTTGATCGTCGACCCAAGCAAGATGCCCCTGTTGTTTTACCAAACAATGGCACATCATCTCTCAGCTCCATTGGTGTCAAGTTTGGTAGCTTGACTTTGGATGATAATGCAGAGAATAATAATGAGATTAACAACACCACCACTTTACAAGCTGAGATGAGGTATGGATGGATAAGGGAAAGGATACGAGAGAAGAATGAAGTATTGATGATGCTCTCTCTTATTAGAGTTCCTGATGAAATCCAACAACCAAGTCAGCCACAACAAGAACGATTGGATACATTTGCCACAGCTCCATTGCAAAGTCAACAACAAGCACCACAACAACAGCAACAACAACAACAACCTCTTGCCTCTGAACCCGTACCACAACAGCAGCAAGCTCCTATTCATCAACAACCACAACACACTTTACCCCAACAACCTCTCTTTGGCATGGATCATTTGGCCTCTGGTTACAGCTCTTATCTTCCTAACCAACCCCCTGCTGGCGTTTCCGGTTTTGGTGTTAGCCCAATGGGTTCCTTGCCTGATTATGGTCTCTATGGTACTGATGCTCATCGTGCTGCTATGGTAAGATTGGGGAATGGATGAAAAACAATGGATGAGCTTAGTGGGTATTGATGATGTCATGCTTGTATAATAGCTTCAAGGCTACTATGATCCTGCAGCAGTGTATAACCAATCTCCATCCGCTACGCATGCTTATCAACCTCGTGACAAGCAAGATGGTGTTCCTCAACATAGTGGTGCTCAAACTCCAGGTGCAACAGCAGCAGCCGCAGCCGCAGCACAAATGTATCCTATGAACATGCCCTACTATCAATACTATTACATGCCTAGTCAATTTGGTTATCAGCAGAATGCAGCTGCAGCAGCTTATGGTCAACCCTTTATGAACAAGAGCATGTATCCCAATATGTATCAACAAGGCACTGCTAAGCCTAATGCTGCCAATCCTGCTGGTACTGCTACTTCACCCTATGGTGCAGCTGCTGCATCTCCTTATTCTCAAACCATGTACTCGGCAGCCATGTCAGCTGGCTATGATGATATGACAGCTCCTGGTGCAGGTCTTCAACATAACCTTGGTGGTTTGCAAGATTATCAAAAGATGTATCAGCAACAATTGCCAGGATTTTTGGGTGGTGCACAACAACAACAACCTCCTATGCATCATCATCAACAACCCTCTCAGCAGCCACCACAACAACCCGCTTCGGCTACGGGTAACAAGAATGATAAGGCTGGTAATGCAGCTGGTGGTGCTGGTGGTAGCAATGGACATCATCATCATGCACAACAACAGCAACAACCTTATCCAGGCAATTACTTTGGAGGCTCGTTCCCAACCTCCTATCAGCAGCAGTATCCACAGCAACAACAACAACAGCAACATTTCCCTCACTTTCCTCAACAACAGCAACAACAAGCACCTGCTGCTCAACAACCCTCGCCCATGGGTCGTCAGCAACCTTACTGGAGTCAGTAACGAAACAAAGAGATCTCGCCTTTTGTGTATTTAATGTTTGTCTCTCTCTTCTCATCTTCCCCCCCCCCCAACCTCCCATTTTCTCTCATGTTTTTTTCCTTCTTGATCTCTTCATTTGTTGATTGTCTTTTGTAACGTCATCATTGCTCATAGTTTTGCTCTGTTTCTTTTTGGAATGATTAAATATGGATCATCCTCCTCATCAAAAAGTGTGTGATATATAGCTATGGGTGTCTTTTCTTTGCTTCATGGCGATAGGATTGTTGATCCTTGCTTGAATCGGTAAAAATAGAACTTAAGGGATCTTTATACACGGCGACATTGTGCAAGAATCAATGAATGAATGAATGAATTACCAACAACAAGACAATGAAATCATGGCTGCATTGTGACAAAAGATAGTTGTTCTTTTTGAATACACAAAATCAATTCGGAATGTATGATACAATGACAGGTATTATGAAGAAGGAGGAGAAAGATGACAAGGGTGTGTGTGCGTATAAGAATAATAGGATGCGAAGAGTGTGGGGGGGTTTTTTTAAATGTGATAGGTGTGGAGGGATAGCTACAAGTGATAATTGGGGGGGGTGTTCCTTAGTTCTTGAATTGGTCTTCAGTAACGCCCTTGCCCATGGCAGCAGTAGCAGCAACACCACCAGTGACGATCTTCATGACATTGTCAACATAGCTGGCACCGGACCACTTTTGATGTTGGAGCACATCGACGTCTTGGGCACGTTCTTGACGTTGGACATTGTTGACATAGCCATACATGCCATCCTTCTTGTAAGCACGTGCAAAGGAGGCTAAAATGAACCATTATTTAGCACGTGATCAATCCTCATTGTGTTTCCCATTTCAAACTTACCAGTAGCCAAAGCGTTGGCGTGGAGACCACCAAGCGTAATGAATTGCCAGACAAAGCCAAGCTTGCCCAATTGCCATACGAATGCACGCATGTCTTCGTCACTCAAACCAGCAGCATCCCTATATCCAATGTTGAGTTGCCATGTCGACATTAGCCATGCACACACGCACACACATACCAGTTGAAGGAAGGCGACAAGTTGTAGCAGAGCAACGATTGAGGAGAAGCAGCCAAGACACCACGAGAGAATTGTTCAGCTTGAGAGAGGATAGGCTTCTTGGTCTCCATCCAAAGCATATCGGCATAAGGAGCATAAGCGATAGCACGGGAAGTAGCAGCCTCAGTACCACCTTCATAGCGATAATGACCTTCACGGACACGAGGAGTATCCCAATCCCAAAAGATTTCAACGCCATAGGACTTGGCAATAGCACGAGCTTCAGCATTGGACTTGTAATGGATCTTGCTCAAGAACTCATCAGCTTGTTGAGCACGGCCAGCCTTGCGAAGTTCATCAGCAACAGCAGTGCCATAACGCTTCAAACCAGCCTTGGCAATCCATTCATCTTCAACAGCTTGCAAAGCATCACCGGTCTTGCCAGCAAGTTCAGCTTCAGCCATCACAGATGCCAAAGGAGCCAAGTTGGGGTTGGTAGCACCAACAACGAATTCGTGGTCGCGAGGATCAATGTTGCTGGTGATCAAGGTAGCAGCTTCAGCATCAGAGCGGGCCACCACCAAGTTCTCAACACCCATAATATCATATTGCACACGAATGGCAACAAGACGATTGATATGCTCGCTCGTAGGCACCAAGACCTTGCCAGCCATATGACCACACTTTTTGTTGGCAGGAGATTGATCCTCAACTACAATGGACATTAGCCACATGGATGTAAAAAGTGGATATCAATCTCTATACTTACTGTGAATACCAGCAGCACCACGTTCAACAAACATCTTGGCCAACTTCATGACAGCAGTAACACCACCATGACCAGTATCAGCATCAGCAACAATAGGACGAAGATAATCGATCTTGGGAGTCTTGGCACGTTCTTCAGGGGTCATGGCAAGACGAGCTTCACGTTGCTTACGATCATGGAAAAGTTGAGCAAAGAAGAGATGTTCAACCTTGTTGGGAACAGTGTCCATGGGATAATCGGCAAGATCAGGTCCAGGTTCGTTGCTGGTAGAAGCGGTAGAGGAGCATTGCCAACCACTCACATAGCTAAAGTGGGATAGAGGGATAGGTGAGATTCACTTTTTCCATCATGGTGGCTATGTCATCTACTACTTACACAGTCTCAATACCAGCACTGGCCATTTGAGTGACTTGGACAGGATCAAGAGCACCAAAGGTGTGGGTGGTTTCGCCGGTCTTCTTGTTATGTTGAAGCAACTTCCACAACTTCTTGGCTTGGGCATTGGAACGATATTCAGTAGGGAGGGTACCACGCTTGGAAACAATTTGTTCAGCGGTATAAGGACGCTTGACAAGCTTGAAACGATCGGAGGCCCACCATTGCTTAACAGCTTCAACCTATACAATGATATCAATGAGTCCCATGCGTTCGATCATTTAGCTAGTAGTATTCAAATAGTACCTCTTGACGGAAAGCGAGTTCTTCTTGATCGTAGGACATTGTAGGAAGGAAAAAAAAAAAGAAATAAAAAGTAGTGATGATTCAAAGTCGAAACAATGCAAAAGTCAAGTCTTTATATAGGATTGACACAGATGTGGAGAAAGACATGATGTGAATGCAGGTCATGAGACTGCATGTGAAACCTACACGTGAAAGCAAGCAAGCACTGGCTGGCGTTTGTCATCGGCATTGGAGGGGGAAGACCGCCTAAATGTTCCTTGTGTGTATGGTGGAGAATAGTGCGGGGCGGCAAAAGATTACCTTTACAAATTACATGGCCCTTTTCTGGCCCCTTCCCTCTTTCATGCTTGGTTGGAGAGAGAGAGAGAGAAAGAGCGATTCATTCGATCAACGATGATTCACAATTTGCTGACACATTCTGACAACATTTCAATCCCGTTTCCTTCCATCATGCATTTATGCATAGATCAAATTAAGCAATGTGATGTGATTCAATGCTTCCTACTTCAAAGGTATAAAGCATGTGTGTATGTGTGTGTAAGCTATTCATGCATAGCATATGCTAACCAGGTGCCTTTTGCCGGGAGAAGACGGGCAAAGCCTTTGAACAAGGAGAGGGGCCATGTTACGCTGATGATTCCGAGGAAGAGAAGCCCCCCTCTTTGGTCTACTATGTGTGATTTCCCATGCAAAGCTGCCGTCAGATTCCGCTTTCAACCTTTGCTGGTGCGACTTTGCGTTGCCTACTTGGGAAGCTTGTGGTGATTCTTTGATAAGACAAAACATGAGCAATGGGCCAATTGGAGATAAGCGGTCGGATCCCGGAAATGCTCCACTTTCCTTTTTCCACGATGGCCAAAACGTCATCTTTTCTTATCTCGTTTTTCTCGCTCACTCACTAATTGGACGGGCCATGTTCAAAAGTTGAGTGTCACCCAAATTGTATGTGTCCAATAGCAGTGACCTCAAGCACATAATTCTTGCTCCGTTTATTCATTTTGCATCATCATCTGTATGATCTTCACATGGTCCATCCTTTTTCTTATTTTACGCGTAAACATAAATGCTGAACCCTTAAAAACCTTCAGCAGGCTACGTTTTCCCCCGGATCATTTCACCCTCCCTCTCACTCTCACTCTCTCGTCTTCAGGGTACAATGCAATAGAAAGTAAAATGCTGATCCATCCTCTTGTTCTTTCCCACGTGGATACGGTATCCATGCAACAGCAACAATAATAGTAGTAGTAGTAGTAGTAGATCAAAGAGAGATTTGATAAATAAACTTGTTCCATTACATTGCATATGGTCTTTATACACACAGCAAAAGAATGAATACGATGATGAACTCCTTGTTGAAGGGAGGACTTGTCTCAAATCGTCATTACCTAATTGGGAGTAGCACAACTTACAAGTTGCGTCACACTCGATTGGTTTCTCTCTTTTTTGCGGCTTCGCAAACCCATGACACGGTTTCCCATCTCTTCTCCCTAAATTTACCAAGAGTAAGTGTGTTATAGCATACATCGATATTGGATGATGGTGATCTAAATACAGACTTTCTTTGTTATGACTCTATAGTGAGAGGCAAATGGAGAAAAAAAGTAAGTTTTTGTACACGATGATCGATTTATGTGGCATGGTTGACCAACAACGTCTGTTTTTGTTTCTACAGAGACAAAGACGTCTCAAGGCCAAGAGAAAAAAGATGAGAGCTAGATCCAAATAAGCGTAACGCCCATCTGATCATATCATCATCATCAACAGCCACAACAACAACCACATCTTGTGAATAAAAAACTCTTTTGTGCTTTACCAAAGCCCATTTCCAACATATGAAACGTTTTTTTTTATCCGAGCGTCATTGATTAGAGAAAAAGGAAGGATGCGTGTTATTGTTGATTATGTAAATGAACGTCGATAATATGATACAAGGAGGGGATGGGATGAACAATGCTGTAATGTGAAATGTCTATGTTTCTTTGCGTACTCGTTTCTTTTCTTCTTTGAGACCTTGGTGGAGCTGATGGAGTTGAGCGGCAATGGTATTGTTGGCTGCATGGATCGCAACACCTTCATGTAGAAATTTGTCCAGGAATGAGGCTGCCGAACTCACAGAGACGTCTTTGTTGGATTCGATCTTCAAGTTCAAAGGTAATGCTTTTGGCTTGTTGTCCATCTTGTGTGTGTGTGTCGTTGGAAGAGCAGCTTCTAAAGTGGCGGTTTCGAAACTAGGGCAACTCTTTTCCACAAGCCACACCTGTGCCAAAGGAGGAGCATGTCTGCTTTAAATGCCATCGTCGCACATCATCCACCATCCTTTTCTTTTCCTTACACCACATCTTCTTTATATCAATCGATGTCATTGTCGCCCCTTTTCTATCAAGCATTAAAGAGAACAACTATCCCATCCTGATTGCATGATCGACTTTGGCCCCGTTTTCATCGTGAAACGACATGATTTTTGCTCTGTGTTCCATGCCATCTGATATCAATATGAATGAATACTCCTTTCGAAACATCCTCATGCACAGGTTAGTGGCACATGGACAAAAAGACGTGTTGAAAGTGCATCTTTTAATCTGATAATGACATTTGACTCATAGCTGAAACCCGATCCGGTATCCCGCGCAATTGAATTTAACGTAGCACAAAAAGACATACTGCGGGATTGTGCTTCTCTTTCTGCAAGTGCATACACCACCGCCCAACTACTTCTTTGATGAGCAAGCGAGTCCCTTGTAACGGTAGAGTGGATGTTATCCTTGTATATGATCATATCATTTATTCAATTTGATGTATGTATATATAGAATGCCGTGAACATAAACGTCGGTGCACAGGCGAGACTCCCTGTGAACGGTAAGCTAAGCCTACTCAAAACCTTGACTCCATCGACTCATACCCTCCGTAGCTGCCAACGATTGAAACTCAAATGTGTTTATACCATCAAAAAGTCGCCCAAGGATGAAGAGTATATCCAGGAGATAGAAATGATTGAGCAAATCGACCAGCTTCGACACCACATTGCCTTGATGGAAGCCGAGATTGGTCAATTGAGCCAAACACAATCGACAACAACAACACCCACGCCACACGAGTCTCCATTGACAACGAGTAGTAGTACGGTGACCGGAGGATCCATGGCTTCACCTATCAGTTTGAGCGGCAACGATATGGCATTGGATTTACCTTTGAAAGACTTCAACAACAACAACAGCAACATCATTGCAACGAATGACCGGGGATACTCAGTGTCTTTGTTGGATCAACGACGTCAACAACGACAATGGACGACGAGTGATGTCGATAATGATGATAATGATGAGAGCCGGCAACCACTCGATTGGACACTTTCAGTGAGCAATGGCAATCTATCAATTCATACCAAGATCCATAATCACACCGAGCTATTAAGCAACCTTCAAAAGATCGTCACCACCCTTGAGTTCCAGGATCAAGTACCAGCATTGTTTGCAACAGCGACTGAGCCTGATCCCATGTCAAAGATGTTGCATATTCTAATGTGGAAGCGATATGGCAAATCAAGGTACAAAGGCATCGTCAAACAAATGACATTTACAAGCCGAGCAACGGGAGGAGATCATACAATCGTACCCAGCAACGTCGTTGATATATCAGCTTTGATGCGCCGTTTGATCTTTGAATACACCCATTGCCAACAATACATGCACCTTTCGCTCCATTGTCCGACGTTTATGCGATTATTTGTCGAATGCGATCGTCGAGATTTGTCACCAGCAGCTTTAGCCGCGTGTGCCGTCATTTGCATGATGCCTTGTCGCCACATCGTTCAAATCATCGATTACGAGCAATGTGCGGATTATGCAACCTACTTTGCAGAAAGAGCCAAAGAAGAACTTTCAGAACGGTTCGATGAGATCAGCTTGGACGTGTATTTGGGTTATACCTTTTTGGCCCTCTTCAAGGTACACGCATCCGATATTGATGAATGCAATCGATATAGCGACTTTGCTGAACGCATGCGACATTTGCTGGAACCCATGTATCAAGACAAGAATCAAGATCCTGGCGAAGTAGCATTGCTCCATCGTGCCTCCAATGTGGTGATGAAGGTGCGCACCTTGGCGGGTATGATGATGATCAGCCAACAAAAGCAAAAAGGATATAAGGATGCGGATGCCGACTTGTATTCCTCCGTTTACAAGAGGATCCATGAACGCCATTTCGATCTGGAAATAGTGGAGGGTGATTCACCAGAAGAACAACGCTATATACGCGCCTTCCAGATGATGCGTGTGCTAAGGGATGAAGCTCACAGGGTGGTCCATTCGTTTCAGAGCTCAAACTTGATGAACTTTATTGGCGTTTTCGGGCATCAATTGGAAATGGTAATGCGACTATGGTACAAAGAGACACTCGAACCCGATTTTCGGCTCTCAGCACCTTTGTTTGACGACACCATCCCCGAGAATGTATTTATGGATATGTTGGAAAAGGATTGCCAAACGAGCTTGGTGCCAATATTGACGACAATGCGTATCTATGGCGAATGCTTTGTCATGTGCCGATCACATCTTCCCAACACAATTGTTGTCAATCATCGTTTAAAGATCAATTATCTCCCACCTGAAGACTCCGAGGATGAGCAAAAAAGGCTTAAACATCAACGACGTCTTGGCAAGCTGATGCGACTACGCCAGATGATTGAATTTGAAGGCACTGATGAAGAATACCTGCAGACCGTGTTTGGTGCTCTTGTCCTTGATACCCGTGATCTACGCCATTCACTACTCGATATCACTGTACGTGCAGCTGTGTGCACCTTACGTATCCAAAAGTTTTTATTGCGACGCCAACGTGGTGTATGCTTATTTGATCCACGCATTCCGCTTGATGCTCTGGAAGTTCTCAAACGCATGGCCAAGATCTACATGTATGATGATAAGCAGTTTGCCTTGCAAGTACGCAGCGTCATAGACGACTATCTTTCAATGCTAAAAGATGCCGTGGAAATGGAACCAATGTATCGTCGGCTGGAAACCAAGATACGGGACTTTGAAGCTGAAATACAAGAAGAATTAGCACCTCTCAACCCATGGGCCAATGTTGACCAGGACTTGTCTGCATACGTCGATATATGATAGGATCACTATACTACTATTACCCCTTTCTTTTGCTCCACACATTGTATATATATCATCCATCCCATCCTCCTTAGTAGTAATTTGTCTTTTTGCTTTGTAACAATATACTTTTATAAAAGTGACATGGTTGCTTGAATTTCTATGCACAACACAAGAATGGCTTCTTTATGTATAAATATTATTCGGTATTATGCAAATAAGAAATGGGCATGCTTTACAACTATAATACAAGTGTGTGGGGGGGAATATGGTTTTCTTTGCTATGGAACAGGAAAAGAGAGAGAGAGACGTGGCAAACGTCACGATGTTGTTGTTGCTTTAGTAACCAACACCTGATAGAATGCCATAACCAAGGGTGAAGATGAGGACTGTGCCAAAGACACTGGTGGGAATACCAACGATCAAAAAGTCCTTGGAGCTAAGATAGGGCTTGCCTGCTTGATCTTCCAACATGACAGCAGCCATATTGGGATAACCGGAGACTGGAAGTGCCATACCAGCAGAGCATGCCAAACCAGCACCCATGACAAGGAGATTGGGACGAGGTGTAGGCAATGCTTCACCAACTTGTTGAACAATAGGAACAATGATCAAAGCGGCAACAGTGTGAGACACAAAGGTAGAAAACACCAAAATCAGGAATGCGAAAATGGCAAGAATGGCAATAGCATCCAAATCTTGAATGCCGTCCTTGATACGCAAAGCAATATCTTCCAAAAGACCGGATGATGTGACAGCATTGCCAAGAGCCATACCACCTTGAGCAAGTACCTAATGGTGAATCAAAATGAGTATCACGAATCATTCACAAAGCAATTTGTGTTACTTACCACTACACTCCACAAGAAAGCGTTAAGATCATCCTTCTTGAGGATACCGGTACCAAAAAACATGAACAATGGGACAGCGGCAATAACACCCGTGGCACCAATAGCATCTTCCATGGCAGTTTCAGCACACCAAAGGGCGATGGTTGCACATGTAATAAACATGACATAGCATTGGGCAAAAGAGACCTTGCCACGTGTGGGCTTGATGCGATTGAGATGTTGTTGAGCGCGATCAGGACGATAAATAAGCAAGAGCATACCCCAACAAAAGATAAGGGTAAGAATGGCGATAGGCAAAGCACCAGCAAACCAAATACCCCAGCCTGGATTGGGATTCATGTACTGAAGGGTGATGATGTTTTGTGGTGAGGAGATGGGCGATGTCATGCCACCGATACAGCTGGCAAGGGCAATACCCAAAAGCAAGCAAGGTGCTACGCGTGAGCCATCAGGCAATGTGCGCATGATGGGATCGATGAGTGAAAAGCACAAGACGGGAGTTGCGACATTGGAGATCCACATGCTCAAAAAGCCGGAGACAAACATGATGGCAAGAAGGACCCAACGAGGACGTGTGCCTGCACGTGAAAGGACATGGGATGCAAATGCCTTGGCAATACCATACTTGCTGAGTGCACCAGCTAATGCGAAACCACCAAGCAACATCATGATAGTAGAACTAAACATGGATGCAAATGTATCCTTGGCAGCATCAGCAGCCGTCATCAACGAGCCATCGTCATTGCGCATGATCTTGAGGGGAACGATAAGGAATGGAATCAGCATGGATGTGGCATACAGCGGCACAGCTTCGGTAGCCCAAAGAATGGCTGCGAAAATCAACAAGGCAAAGCAACGGTTTTCTTCCACATTGCCGAAACAATCGACACAAAGCAAAATGATAAAGGCAGCCAAAGCAAGAAGGAAAAAGATGGTGCATCGAAGAAGGCTGCGAGTGACAACGAAATCGATATAGGGAATGCGATACCCTGAAGGCTCAGCGGGATTTTGTACATGTGCTGACAATGCTTTGCGTTCTTGACCGATCATGTCGCGCCAAACAGTGTTGCGATCATAGGTCACCTGATCACGTAAATGGGTCTTCATTTGACGAGCCGCCACGCGTGCATCACCATTGCAAAAGATGTCAGCATACACATGCTCCAAACGTTCAATATGGGCACGCAAGTCCTCCATGCTATCACCAGTAAAGGGACGGGCTTCTCGGACCATCTTTTTGTTGTAGGTTTCGCGGAGATTGCCATCCAAGACCTTGTCATACTTTTTGAGGATCTTGTCAAAGGCACTCCGATTCAACTCAAGGTAGGACTCAAGCTCGGAAAGGGAGACGTATAAAAGAATTAACTGTGATCGTGTATCAAAGAGGGCATCCACATCAATGCCGGTTTCGCTTTTGGAGGATATCCGTGACTCGAATGAAATCTTGCGGGTGACCTTGTGGAGTTTATCGAGATGAGGAGTTGAATCGATTTTTTCTAAAGGACTGCCGATGGCTGATTGTGTTTGCTCTTCTTGTTGTTGTTGTTGTTGACCAAGTGATCGTTGCAAAATGTCGATTTGATTGTACAATTCTTCCTCCTTTTGCACATAAAAGTTGACAACCTTGTCAAGTTGCACATCAAGCGCACTAAGAAAGGCTTCTTGTTGCTCTTGAGCAGAGGGTGATGAGCCGCTGTATTGTTCAGGGTCATTGTGTTCCTGGTATGCTGCTGATTCGACACGCTCCTTTTCAAGTTGGAAGATGAGCTTCTTTAATTGATCATAGCTATATCATAAATATTTGGTTGGGTTAATACAATGATGCCAATGCATTGCATGTTTGTGACTCTTACGCGACATAATAATCAATCCAATCGGGCACTGCATTAAACTGCAATGTATGTGAAAATTTCATTGTGCAAAAGGAACAAGAAAAGGGGTGATTGTGGCGACCAAGTAAAAAGGGGGCGGGAGAAAGATGACTGAAAAGTACCCTCTTTTTAAATACCAACAGCCAGGATTTGTAAACTAAAGTAGCTCTTTGAAAAAGTCTGTGTGCGGGTTACGGAAAAACAAGCGCCAAGTCGGGTGTAACCGTCGCCATCTATGATTGGACCAGAGCACCACACACGATACCACGCAACCTCACGTGTACCATTTCTTTCGACAGCACTGTTTTGCTCCTTTCAACAAGCATTTTACTATTATTACCCCTTATTAAATTGCAATTGTTGATCGATACATGCATGTACATTGCCGATCCTTGGGGTTTTTGAGGCTGCAACGAGAAATTATCTATATAAAGTCAAACAAATGGATAAGAAACAGGCAAAATGTATTGTTAAGGCAAGAATTTCAAAAGCCAATCAAATGTCGCACGTGTAGATTCTAGTGACATTCAGTGGATCTTTCGGATTTCACGCTCCGTAAAGCTGATGAGCTATACAACTTTGGGCAAAATACACACACAAGCCTTCAGCGGATGGATTCCGGGGAAGCTTTCCCTTTTCTCGATAAACGATCGCGTAACAAAAAGGCCACGAGGACGCAAGGGGCCAATTTTCATGGGAAAAAAAAAAGGTAAAAGCATCAAAACAAAGCTGTAGGGGACGTTTCCACAACATAAAGTAAAATGTCTCATTCATCTACAACCTTGATCGGCTACTATTACACGGCAGCCGGCAAAGGAGACAATCCTTTCTCCCATTGTTGAATTTGGGCCAGTGAGATTGGCTATTACGGTTTCACATTCGATCATCGCCATTTGAAAGAAGAGGTTTGTTGGATCTTTGTAAACATCACTCATCATCAAGCTGTGCCTTGTGATGGGATCATTTGAGATGAAGGATGAATGAAATTATAGTTACAGAATATGTCGGTACGTCATTCACAAAGAGAGTATGCAGTGTGCCCATTGCGCATGCAGCCCCCCTTGGTATTATTATCCCTTGTCGTCGTCGTAACATTTGATCATGTGCATGTGGGTGGTGGTGGATGTAGTGTTATGCCAACGACAAAGTTGCCTGACGCCCAAATCCTATGCACTTTCATACGGCACAACACTTTTCCTGCATCTATGGCGTCCTCAAACACAAAATCTAGTAGGCTGAAGCAATCTATTTATGATTCAAAAGGCGTGGTATATGCACATCAGGTACCCAGGCATCTCTTTTTTAGTTACACATGTGGATAATTGGAGGAGCCAAACAAATAGTACAATCAGCATTAGAAACCTCTATAGAATGCGTAATGTTGTGTATCCATGGCTACGACTCGGCGACGGCAAATGACAGCTCTGCTGCTTCTTGTCGGATCTCATCCCAGATTTCACCAATGTCACTGATAGCACTGTCGAGTCTATTTGCTCATGATGTGAACTTCCTCCTCTGGATTCTCATCCCATTTCCTCCCACCACCTACCTTTCACGATGCTCTTGGATAGTTGTATCATAATCCTTTTCCCCTTTTCGAGATTCAATGGTATAGATTTGCAAATGAACGGTCTATCTCATCCCATTGTTAAGTATAACCTTCTTCCATGTCTCCATAGCAACGCATCATCGGCTTGCTTACCAGCTGTAACTTGTCCTTTTCTTTTTCTTGAAGCCTGCGCACAGCTTGCGAAAGATCATTACGGCCTTCTTCGGCAAGGGCTTGCTCTATCGTTTGTACCTCGGACGACACCTCCTGGAATCCCTCTGTAGCAATTCGGCATATGGACAAATACTGCTCCTCTGGACATCGATCGTGCAAGTAATCTTGGAAAGCGCTATGGTTCCAAATGAGAAAAGGTTGCTGTCAAACCTGTCATGGGAAGAAGACGACGTACTCATTGAACTCTTTGTATATATTCATACGCGTGTCTTGAGCCTTGATCAATGCTTGAAGCCGATTGAGAACTACGGCATTGCTGTCACCAGTAGCGTGGACCATGGTGCGGGATCAAAGTGGTAGCGTGTTACTTTTCCGAACAAGATTATGCAATAAAGCAGCATCCATCATTATTCCCGCTTGCCCTCCTCGTGACTCTAATCCTATGGGCCAACAAAGAGACCATGTCTCGTGAAAAGCTTACCCATTTACACGTCGTCTATAACATCATCCCTGATAACCTTGTTTCCAACCGCTGTCATCAGATCTTGGGAATCACTTTTAAGCATACCATATTCATAGTAGTACCTTGAATAAAGCTCATTGGATTTTTGCACATCCTTCTTAGGCTCACATTACTCGTCCTCACCATGTGGTGTATTCTTCATCATTCCAATAAAACTTCTTCAATCACAATTGGATCAGCTACTATCAATCCATAGCAAAGAACCAACCCTTGGCCAAATGATGTTAGTAGTATAATGTAGGTTGCCCCCAAGCTCGACAGCCATTGACATCCTAATAATAAACGTACGCAGGTTAGCTTTAATGCTTTCTTCTCCCACGCAGGGCTTCCCATAGCAGTCGATATTAGGAGTATGTAAGGTGCAGTTGGATGATGATTGTAGCCTATTGATGCAGGATACCTTGAGCACTTTGGTAACAATCGCTTGAGTTGCTATAGGATTATACCACACCCCACTCGTACATCTATTTGTATCGTATGTGCCCTTTAATAAATGATGCATGAGACCCCAGTTGTCAATTGTATCGCCTTCCGTTGCAGTACAGGATCATCCTCCTACCTAGCTCTGCAGTCGATGCACAGCATCTACCAAATTACAGAGACTTTACTCGCACTTCAGGCATGATGAATATATAAAAGCTTTATTTAGCACGTTGTTGAACCACAATGGGTGAATTTCTACTACTTTGCCGATGAGCTCCACTTATTTGGTCATACGTGTCACAGCACTCAGCAGCCAAGCCAACCCATCTAATGTACGTCCATGACATCTCTTGGCTGGTAGATAGTGTAATGCATGTTGGGGATGAATGATTCATCATCCTTATTGATATACCCAAAAGAGACTCTCAATGTAAAAGGCCGTGTGAATCTTGTTTACCCTTAAGTTAATCACCACCAATGACACCCAACGAAAATGCATGCTGGTAAATCATTCCAGTGAAAGAAAACATGTTTATGAGGAAATGCGCGCTACAGAGGAAGTGGGGTAAAATGCTTGTCTGTGGTGGATTTACTATTTCATACAAAGGCCAGGTTAGAATAATCGTATCATACTTGAATTCCACTTGATAATATCAACTTACGTAGCCGACGGAGATCAAGTAATCCGCTAAACCTTCAACGACCTTGGTACAGTTGCCAGGCTGGATACCTTCTTTGTAGAGACCAACGAGGATAGCCTGAGTCGTCTTGACGATACAAACACCATCGGCATTCTATACAGTAATCAACAACCCAAGTCAACAATCTATTGTATCCGAGATCCTTCCTCCTCTCACTCTTTACCTTCTTGCCATAGATAGAACGGTCATCGGATTTAATGACAAAGTACTTGACGCCGTTGATGTGGATACCCTTTGCAGGAAGGTCAGCAGGGTTTGCGTAGCCGCTGATGATTTCTTGGACTTCAGGAGCGCTAAGCTGTAAGCCGAAAAACAATGTCGAATGAGAAAAGGGGTTCCTTTCTTCCGAGATGGGTAGATGAAAACACGCGTATTACCTGGAAACCAGGGGAAGCAGCCCATTGAGCACCATTGGTACCGTAGATGGCGGCTTGGGAGACCTGACCAGTGCCACAGAGATTGCTATCGACGTAAGCTTGCCAAGACATGATGAGTAAAGTAGAAAGAGATGAGGTGTATTATCCCTTGCGAACCACCACGTCGTTTCTAGACTCGTGATAGATTGGCACTCCGAACACTAGGCTCGGAGGTGTGTTCCTGCAAATTGATTCCTAATTCCTCGAGAAATAAATCATTCGTGCGCTTCTCATCGACTCTATCATAATGATTTCATGTGTCAAATGGATATGATGATACCATGGATACGCTTTGATGGCGATAAATCAAGAGTATAGAAGCGGTGGTGGAGAACCATGCACTTTTTAACACGTGTTATGACCCCGCTGAATTAGCTGGCATTTCATTTGACAGGAGCATCACAAACTCAATCATACACGATCACTGTAGAGCATTGCGTAGCTCTATATACCATGGGATCATCCAAAGTATTATCAAAGTAGCACTTTTGGGGAATGACATCATCATTTACTGCCGTAATGGCATGATAAAAAACCCCCATTGTATCAAACAAACGTTAACAATGAAGCGGGGGGTCTTTATGTGGGGAGGGTATGAAGATAGGAATAATAGTGGAGAGGTATACATAAAGATTTCTACACTGTACATGAAAACAGATGAATCGGTGTACAAGAATGTGAATGAATGAGGAGCCTGTGGATGTAAATGTTGTAGAATGTTCGGAGGATATAGATGATGGTGGGAGCGTTGTATCAGAGAACGGGATTGGCACGAGTAAAGGAGGAACATGCCAACTTCCAGATGTGAGCGGGATGGGAATCGAATATGTAAGTTGTTGTGTATCTTCCATAATGACTTTTTCAATAAGGGTCAATTTGAACAATGGTACAATCCTCACAATGAAGTCTTGGCTGCATGATGGGAAACGCAAGGTGGTGGGTTGTATGGCGTATGCCTGTTGTACTACCTTCAAGGATATCCATATCGACCACTGTTGTAGCATTGTTGCCTAAGATCATCATGTTGGTAATCACCGAAACCTCAAGTGCGATTATCATGAAAAAGTACCTTTTAAGGCCTTCTTTTGCAAGGAGTATGTATCCAGTGGGTTCGAGTTGCCCCATGTATCCAACATCTTGACTACCAACGACGCATCCCAAACTGACTGCTGCTTTTTGGGTACCTTGAACGTGGTTTTCTTCTTTGCCACGAGAAGTCGCTTGATGAGCTTGTGTTCGGCCAAAGGAACTTGCTCCGGATCATTATCTTCGTATCATGCTCGAGGCAGAGGGTGAAGCAGAAGATGAATTGGACATGAAAAAGAGTCGAAAGGGGGACTTATTCCTTGCTTGATACAACAACTGGCACCTTTTTTGTATCTTTTTGCTAAAGAAATCATGCTTGTAAGCACAGGGATAGTGTGAGATGTCATTCGAACACTGCTTACCCAATCGCACGCATATTGCTTCCTCTGAAAACGCTGTTGAAAAACCCCCCAGATATGATACATTCTGTCAGCTTCAAGCCGTTCAGCATGCTGGTGATGGGACGAGATGCAGAGGATAAGATAAGCAGAGCTCATGAATGCCACGCTGATCCAAGCTTTCAATGGCTGAGACATCGGACCATGCTTGATGATTGGACAAAAGATAACCTTCCTTGAGTGAATGCTATATGATGATGACTTAGAGACCAATAAAGATATCGTTGCTAAGCATAGGCTATTTCTATTACCAGCTTTTCGAGCTCGTTCAAATCCTCATCCATTGTGACAGGAACCTCTCGGATTAGTGGATGCCCGTTCTTCTCGATCCCCTTCAGCTCTTTGATTGCGAAAACATCCTCCCAATGTGCATCATCCGAATCCATCATCGGTGATTGGCTAGGACTTGGGATACAATGTTAAAAAGAGTACATTCAACAACTTCAAAACACTCATCATGCGACTTACTGGAAGAACCGAGATTGGAGGGTAAAATCTCGGATGCAGTAACTCGACCGGCACGGCCTTATCCACTCCTTGACCTGGTTTGCTGCTTGACTTGAGTATCCAAAGGTCCTTGTATGTAGTCGTCAACTGAGTGAAGTGCACGCTCAAGGATTGATTTTTGACAGGGACTCAGGGGCAACTTCAATGGTGACTTGTGGGGGCGAGTTGCTTGTGACCAGATGCATGTGATCGAGGTTGTGAATTGCTGTGACTTTATACTTCAAGAACTGACGGCTTTATTGCATTGCTTTCAATAAGTATACGTTTGGATAAATATGACATTTGATAGATAATACATACTTCGAGTGTAGGATTTGAGATAAGTAATAATAAAGTCAATAGTGTGAAAGAGAGAGGGAAACAAGCTACGGGGTACAAGATTGATGATATCTATAATTTACGAAAAAGGGTGTCCCAGCTCGAACCGTCAAAGTCATGTGATAAGGATTTTGCTGAGCTTGTTCAGTTGCTATGCCACCAACAAAGAAGCTCCCAAATTCATCCCACCGGTGTTGCCATCAGCTTGCCAATGTGCCATGGTCTCTTTTTGGGATCAAGCCCTCGCCACTAAAACACTTCAATGTCAATTAAGAACAAGACACAAAGGGACATTCACGCGTACCACAAAAGATCCAGCAGGGAATGGGGTGTCAAAAGTCATAAACACAGCAATGAACACAAGTAATAAAGCAATGAAGAACTACACAGGTGGTGGTGACAAAAATCAATGCATGAGCTATTTTTGATGCATATCTACAGAGCGGCTCCTCCGAACATTTACCAAACAGCGGGCCTTTGATGTTATGCAATCGATAGACGAAAGAGATGTGTGATGGATTTTTGACAACAGCCTTGATTTCATGTGCATGGGCGTGGGTGTGGGAATTGTTGTCCGTGCAAAGAGAAGAAGATCATGATTGATTGCACTGATAAAATGGGTTGTTGAAGGTGCTGCAGCATCAAGAAAGTGTGTTGTGATGGTTGTGTTGATAAATTGGTCAACTCCTTTACGAGGACTATGATACTACATGGAAGGAGTTGCAACAACGTCAAGGAATGATAAAGCCATCTTACTGATTTTCAGTCACCAGTTGAAAAGGTAACTCTTGGTATAAGCAGCTGTGCTTTGGACTAATCGACCTGGGCCCAAAGCGAGAGATGACACCCGTGAGTCAAGCTATCATCAAGTCATACATAGCTTTTTCGCAAGATTCATCAAGGTGCTCGGCAGCATGTCCCAAAATCAACACAAGCCTGTTACCGGTTGTTGCCTGCTGTCGATATCATGGCTGGGAACAGGATTATCTTTATAGCAATAACAGCTGAAGCGAAAATCCTGTAACGATCCTGTGAGTATTGACATGAATTGGCAACAACCTCATCTACTATATAAGCTACTGCGTGCTTTGCATTATTCATCTTGAAACGCTTCCATCATCATCACGCCACAAGCAGCATGAAGTTTACATACACCATCCGCCTTGCATTACTCCTCCCAGCTGTATCTGCAACCCACTTTACATGGCCTGCTCAATTCACACAATGGGAAAATGGTACAAAGATTTCTTATTTTACTGGCATCGTGTAAAGATTGTATACCTAGCTCATGTATGTTGGCTATAGGTGAAAAGGGATTGTTTCGTCTTGTCGGTGAATCATGCAAATCAGGATCCATCAAGCTGATTGACTCGGGTGGATTTGCTCCAAAGAACCTAGGCTATGTTGCCAAGGATGTCGATATCACTGGTGACGACGCATTTGAATTTGACATTTGGGATGAGCTTCCTGCTGGCGAAACCTATCAACTTGGCTTTTACCCAAATCTTGATTGTGGCAAGGCTACTACGGCATTTTCATATTACTTTACAATCAAAAACAAGCGTAAGGAGGCATCCGACAAAGACAAAGCTTGATTTCATTACAATGCCTAAATAAAGCATTCATGGTTTCTTTGACTACTACCATGTTGCTACGTAACCTGATGTCGCTTCGTTTCTTTGTTCGTTTTATCATAACCGCTTCCTACCGCAAATGTGCCTGAAATAGGTGTTCAACATTACACCTTCTCATAGATACTACCATGGAGGCAGCATCATGGTAGATACACGAGCGAATGCTGGTCACTTTGAGCATACGATGATTGTAGTCAACCATTTGGTACGCATGATGGTTCACCCGAAAGGGGAATGCTTAGGAAGGTTTAAGCCATGCATCGGATATCGTAAGGGGTACTTTGGGTATTCATGGTTGTTCTCGTAGGTGATGATGGCGCCATTGATTCATTACCTGCCATGTGCCAACCATAAAAATCGAACGTTTCTCAGCATGTTATAAGATAAATGCATCAATTTGAACCCCTCGCTATAGCAGAAATAGCCTCATCAGCTCTCCTTGTCGTGACCAAAAATAGATAAACCACTCAATTTCATGCGAAATATTTAGTAACACATAATAAACGATTGCATGCTACACTGCCACTGATTGCATACTGACAAAATAGTAACAGGGATATGAAGGTTCACTATCCTTGATGCTATTACTGCCATATGAACATTGATCAAACCCAATTTGAAAGGCTTTGTTGGCTTTGCATTCCTCCTTGTGTTGGCCACCAAGTAAGACTCAGCAAGCTAATAATTGCTAGCCGTTACTTGATTTGCTGCATTATAGCTGGTAATATGGCTGAGTCTTGCATGTATGATGTCAGGCTTAGGCGTTCATCGTTCCCAGTGACAGAATAAGAGCATCAAGGTGATACATGATCGCTTGCTATAGTTGGCAACAATTTAGCGGGACTGAACGCAATAAAGCTGAAGTTGATAGTAAAACCAAGCAAGTGCCTCGTTCTTCTATTCTTGAAATGCAAAATAGCTGTGCTTCTCCTTGGCTCACTTTCCCCTCATCATTCGCGGAGATGATGGTATCGGAGCGCTGGTTGGATCGACAGCTCATCAAAGGGGTCTTTGTTGGATGCTCCCCTCCCCTCGTGTCATGGTTACACTGCCCACCGGAAAAGGTGCTTGTACACCACCATACTTATTCGGCCACTAAAATTCGAGGACAATTTATTATCATTTGCCACTACTTTCTTTATTCCCTCTTCCTTCCCCTCCTCCTGCCATTCCTTGATCCCACCTTTTTACCTTTTACCCCGTTGATTTCGCTTGGTGTCCCATATTCCTTGTGGACCTATCCTTTCCTTCATTAATACCTCTCGTTACCCTTTACGCAACACCTTACCGCTTATTTCCTATAATGTTCAATAACCAACACTATTACCAACACACCACCAGCAGCCAACAAGAAACAATGGCCCCACCACCAAACACAAGGTATACAACGATTTGAGAAAAGACACCATTATGAGAGCAAAACAATGAACGCTGGTTTCTTTCATGATAGAACCACTCCCAACATCTCTCTCACCACCGATTACCATGTATGTAAATACGATGTCATGCAAAAACATGTGCACTCACTCGTGTTATCTCTATTTTGTAGGCCGTTTCAGGCGATTACAGAACACAGGTATGCACAACTAAAGTAATTAAATACAATGTCCTTTTAAGCTAAACCTATATAGTCGTATAGAGAAAGCGATGCATCCATGTACAGCACATACAATTTGCGTGAATCGTTAGTAGACCCCAAGAATGAACGCACTATTGGCGTATCTCGAGAAACCTATATCGGTAAAGCATACATGATTGATTCTCGAATGAATACAATACTCATGGCAACCATAGAGCCACAAATGTCAACGATGGTTCGTACCCATGTCACGCCACAAAGCATTTACGGATCACAATACCTCGGCACACCCAACGACTTGGAGTTTTTTAATGATGCCAGCAGTGAGTCGTTGCACAGTGAAATTCGTAATCTCAGGCCGCCGACACCTGTCACCTCCCGAGTTGTTCAACAACACGCCGACTCGCCTATCAAAATGCAGCATGCCTATGTCGAGATCCCTCAACCATCAACGGCAGTGATTGAACAAAATAGCACCAACGCTGCAGTCAATCGATCCAGCAAACAACATCCACAACCATTAACACCCCTTGTTATTCCACCTACACCCGCTCAAACAGCATCCATCCCATCACCTTATCATGCCAACAGTAGTACCAGCCCTGCAACTCAATCGCTTACACCTGGCACTACAGGATCAACTCCTCGCACACCATCCCCCAATACGCTATCTCCACCTCATCCATCGCAATACCCTATCACATCACCTACATCCCCTTGTTTCCCACCACCATCAGCTCATCCAGGCTTATCAGAGAAATTGCAAAAGAATAGCCAACCGTCAAAAGGACGACCACAAAGTGAACCAGAAGCATTCGTTAGCGAAGGTATTCAATATCATGAGCAAGGTCAACTTGCCAAAGCTACCGAATGCTTCCGTCAAGCTGCTATCAAAGACTCGCCTATTGGTATGTTCCTTTATGGTGTGTCTCTACGTCATGGTTGGGTAAGTTTACCAACAAAAAGAGAGGATCAACAGGAGAAGCTTATTTTTTATATATTCAGGGCTGCAAACGAAATGAACACACGGCTTTTCAATATCTTCAAAAAGCTGCCGAGCATGCCGTTATGGATCTCAATAGTCTTTCGAGTACCGTGAATACATCGGCTGTGAAGGGTGAGCTGATCATGGCCATCTATGAGCTTGGTGTCTCTTTCAGACATGGCTGGGGTGTAAGTGTCACACACGCACACACATGGATCAATGCCTATTCGTTTTAGAAATTAATGTTTTATTTGCCCAATAGTGTCGCAAGAACAAAGAAACAGCTGTGTACTTTTTCAAGATTGCTGCCGACCTTGGTGATCCCGATGCACAAAATGATTTGGGCCACTGCTATTATCACGGCACAGGTGTTAAAAAGGACCACTACATGGCAGCCAAATACTATCGTCTTGCCGATAAGCAGGGTTGTGGCATCATGGGCAACTCTTGGATCTACAAGCCAAAGTATGACAAGCCCAAATCATAACAATAAAAGTCGTTCCAATGACGCATGTAATCGTATCGTTTATTATAAATCTATCAAATGCTATTCTATTGTTGCCTTTTGCCCGTAATCTTTTCCATGCGTTTGGATTCCAATTCTTCAACAACATGCTCCAATGTATTCGGTATCTCAAGCACACGCCGACCATCTGCCCATGCTGCATGGTTGCCAAGGTAGCTGAATGGATCGGTACTATGATCAACTTGCTTTTTGCGACTAGCCGCCCGACTCTTATCGAGACGCAACTTGCGTGTAATATGCTTTTCTCGTGCCCATCGTTGAAAGTGAAGTAAATGTGAACGGCAACGATCACCAAAAGCGATATAGACCGGTTTCCTACATCAAACGTAAGCAAAAGCGTGCATTTTAACGAAACCCCAAAAACGTACCTTCGTGAAGCGGCATGTGCAGTAGCATAATCCAAATCCGCTGTAAGCACCACCCTCGCAGCATGATCGATGATCGATTGGTATTTTTCTACGCGCTCCAAGGTGTTGTCAACCTCTGTCATGGCATCCCATAGAGTGATCTCTGGTCGGTCACCGCATACGCTTTTGATTCTTTCCTTGACCTATAATATTCGGCTTCAATCAATTGCTTCATCCTCATCGCCCTTCCTTTACCTACCTGTTCACTCGTTTTCTCTGTAAACACAACCACGAGTTTGGTATGAAAATGATCCACCATCCGCTAGCAATCTTGTTAACATCCTTGTTGTTTGCCTTTTTTCCATCCCATAGTCAACCTACACGCATATTTTCTGCAAGCGTAGCAGCATCCTCTGAATACCATCGACATTGCGGGGAATAGCCACCTACTACAATTGCCGTATGCTCATGACGAGAAGGATTTTGCTGGGTCTGGATATCGAGTACGGGCATCTGTATCATAGGGTCCATAAGAAAAGGCGTTCACGGATCTCACCCATCCATCATCATCATCATCATCATCCTTACATTGGTGGCAATCATATTCTTTTGTCTTGCATATGGACCGAGCTTAGCTATGATGTTTGGATTAGCTCCTCAATGCAATGAAGATCTCAATCGTGTAATTACAACTCACCGAGTTTTCCTTGAGCTTCATACTTGGGAAGGACGACTTGATCAAAGTAAAGGAAAGGGATGCTTGGAAAGCCGGCATAGACTAATCAACATGTTAATGATAGAATCACATTGCGTGAGTAGTACCATCGATTCACTTTACCAGAAAGATTGGTTTCGGTAGATGCAGTTAGACATGCAGGAATGGCAAGAGGTGAAGTGCAAACAACATAGTCGGGTGTACCCTGCCATGGATCTTGAGTCTCGAGATACCACGGTAATTGATCATTGCTGCGTGTGCGTTTGGAAGACCAGCTGACGATAAACTTTTGAAGGATGGGTGGCAATAGTTGCATACCTACACATAGCTTACAGTGTCATTCATAGAGTGGATGCTGCAATAGCTTGTTTTTTTTCTCTAACCTTGACTTGGTTTGGTGGTCTTGAGAGTGGTGTTGCCTAAACGCTTTCCAAGGGTCATGCCAAGCAAGGTCGACTGAATGCCACCATCGGTCAGCACCCACACATTGGGCTTGTTGCTTTGTTGCGAAAGGAATCGAGCGTCGATACGAATGGGCCATGAAGGGATCGATTGGAAGGATCGCGCAAAGACACGATTCATTGTCGGGAGCAAAGTGTCAAGTGGATGGGTGCTCTCCCTCCGCAAAGATGGAAATTAATGGCTCGTCGCCTCAACCCCTCCCTCCATTCGCTGATTGATATCCACAACCCCCCCCCACCCAATGCCTGTAGCCATTGTTGTTCATGCAACATCCCTTTACTTGAAGGTCGACATTAATGATTGCTCGATTCTCTTGACTCCTTTCATTATAGATTGTGGATGCCTCGTCAACTTGTCACGTGATAATGGATGAGAAAAGAGGGGACCTGCCAAGCTGTTCCGCTGGTTCCGAGGTGGTGCTGCTGTGCACTAATGTAATGCAACACGAAGCAGGTGACACCAACAACGACTCTTTCTCTTTCTTTGTCTGGTCCTCTTCACTTTTTCCACGGCAACATGGCAATCCAATACTCTCTCACTTTTGCAATCTTGGTTACTGAGGTAAATTGTAGAGCTATGCTATAGTGGTAAGCCGATGGGTTGTTGATGGCAATATACAATGTAGGCAGCTCTATTTTGTCTCTTGGTGGTAAGCCCAAACCCAACAACACAAGTAACTAGGCTCTTCCCTTGCAGTTGACACGTACTCGATAGCTCCCTTTACCTGCAAAATGGCGTAAACATATGCTACGACTCGTATCCACATCTCCAGCGGTATGAATGGACATGATACGCTATGCCGAGATACCAACCGAATGACCATCATTGTTGTTGCTATAGCTTGACAAGGCGATGTATTCTCTCAAGGTCACATTTGGGTATGTATTGTTGAAAGGATTACGCGATACATAATAGAATGGATGGATTAATACCACCTTGTTGGTTATCATAGGTTCATCTTTTTGCTGTTTGTGGGTAAGGACATCTTGTTGAGGATATCGAATCATGTCACCATCCATCTCATCACCTTGACAAAGACGCCATCAACAAGCTTTATAGTATCGAAGAGCGCCATCCTGAAGGAGAAGAAATGCATGATTATACATTTGAAGCCAATTTGAAGGCCACCAAGTTTTATGCCCAACGAAACCTTTACTTGACTGGATTTACCTTGTTCCTTTCATTGTAAGTTACAAAAGTCATGCAGGTGGTGGAAGCTCTCATGTAGTAACTTGTTGACGTTAGTATTCTGCAACGCACGAGTGCATTGATTTTCCAGGTGGTGCAACGAGAGGAAGAGCTTGAACGCGTGCAAAATGAGGTATATTCAGATGGGGAGAGGAAAAGGATTACAACAACACGTGATACCTAACTTGCTCAAATAGACCCATACAACCACAAAGAAGCAAAAGGAGATTATCGATAAGGAAGCTGGATACAAGAAACAAGTGGATGTGCTATCGACCGAGTTAAAGGATCTCAAACAACAGCAACGCGATTATGAAACGCTCAAACTCCAAGTGGCACAACAAGATGCTGAGTATCAACGCCTAGCAGATGAGCGTAATGCTTTGGAACAACATGATGGCGCAAAAGTAGAGACACGCAAGGATATTTGATTGGATGCAACACTTAATACCCAAGCCCAAATTAAAATAGTTGTGTTTTGTGACAAATTGATATGTAAATCGATTTATTGTAAATGAAATCATCAAAGGCCATCGCCACTATTGGAAGTTGGATGGGTAAATAAAGTCATCAATAGGAACAAAATTCTCCTTGATACTGCGCATAGATACAAAGCGTGTTAACAATGACCAGCTACCAGCCTTGTCGTTGGTACCGGAAGCGCTTCCACCACCAAATGGTTGTTGACCAACAACAGCACCTGTACACTTGTCATTGATATAAAAGTTACCAGCGGTGCGACGCAAGAGGTTGGATGCCTTGACAATGGTCTCACGGTTCTTGGCAAAGGCAGCACCCGTAAGAGCATACTCAGTGGTATCACCAATCAACTTGCAGGTCTCCTCCACCTTGTCATCATCATAAGCATACAATGTCACCACAGGGCCAAAGATTTCCTCAACCATGGTTTTAGTGTTTGGGTTGGTCGTTTCAATGATAGTAGGCTGGATAAAGTAACCCACTGAATCATCACAAACGCCACCAGCAAGGATCTTGCAATCACCACTTGACTTTGCATGGTCGATATAGCCCTTGATCTTATCAAAAGAAAAGCGACTGACAACGGGACCCATAAAGTTTTCCACTTGAAGAGGAGAACCTTGCTTGATCTTTGCATGTTGTTCCAAAAGGTACCCCTTGAATTCTTCATACTTGCTCTTGGGTACATAGGCACGGCTGCATGCAGAACACTTTTGGCCTTGGAATTCAAAGGCACCACGAATCGTTTGAATAGCTGCATGTTTTACACCAGCAGAGTCAAGATCGCCGAATACGATATGGTAGTTTTTCCCGCCACTTTCACCTACGATACGAGGATAGCAAGCATAGTTGTCGATGTTATTGCCAATTTGCTTCCATAATTTGCGGAATACAGCAGTAGAACCAGTGTAATGAAGACCACCAAAGTTATGGTTGTCAATGGCGGTCGTAGCGATCTCCTCTGCAGGTCCAGGAACAAATTGGATGACTCCTGGAGGCAAACCAGCTTCTTCAAGCAACTCATAAACGAGATAATTGGAAAGGACAGCACCAGGAGATGGCTTCCAAAGGACGACATTACCCATTAAAGCAGGAGCACTAGGAAGGTTACCGCCAATAGCCGTAAAGTTGAAAGGTGAAATGGCCAAAATGAAACCATCAGTGGCACGGTATTCGGTACGGTTCCAGTTGCCAGTTGCATTCTTTGGTGGTTGAATGTGGTAGATCTCTTCAGCGTATTTGCAGTTGAAACGCCAAAAATCACAAAGTTCAGCAGCGGCATCGATTTCAGCTTGCCAAATGTTCTTGCCTTGACCCAGCATGGTGGCAGCCATCAACTTGTAACGATACTTTGATGAGAGCAAGTCGGCAGCCTTGAGGAAGACGGCAACACGATCATTGAAAGGAAGAGCTTCCCATTGTGCCTTTGCAGCCATGGCACCTTCAATAGCCTTTCCATAGATACGCACGCGTAAGCACAAAGATGCTCAAATCCCTCCATGGTTATTATTATTACCTTTTTAACTTGGGACGCGTCAGCTTGATGGTATGTGCAAACAGCCTTCTTGTGATCCGAAGGGTTGAATTGTTGGGCAGTGTTGCCACTCTTGATCTTTTCACCATTGATAACAAGAGGCACTTCCAAAGGAGGTTGTTCATTCATTTCCTTGAGAGCTTGAAGAAGCTTTTGACGCTCTTCAGAGCCAGGTGCATAGTTTTTCTGTTACATGATGTGAGACAAGTGAAAGGAGATCGACGTGTAGGTGACACAAAAGATCAACTTACCATGGGCTCATTTTCAATGGCAGGTAGCTTGAAATGAGCAAGTGAGGGTGTTTGAAGAGGATGAGCCATGATGGACGTTTGAAGAAAAGAAAGAAGAGGTAAAATAATGGATCAACCAAAGAGTCTCTATATATATACGACATGGTTTTTGTTTGCTAACAAGGGAAACGGCCCCCATCATTCAGCGACAACGGCAATAATGAATGCAATAGAAGGGCGTTAGTTTGGCAACTTTCTCACGGTGATACTAAGAAATGCGACGAATCGGATGTAAGCCTTTGCGATGACCCATCCTCCACATGCATCATCATTCCATGATGACAGCTGCAGAAATTTCAGAATACATACTCCACACGCCAGCAGCAGAAAGCTGTTTGCATCACGTATCAACAAACAAAGGGGGTGCAAACAGGGGGCTTTTTTTATTACTGGTGTGTGTATGTGTGTGTCGTCAGCATGATTGTTTCATTTACAAGACCACACACACATACGCGCCCCCCACAAATAGACACTCACTCTCTCAATGTTGCGTGAATTTGCTATCGTGGCTCTTGTTTTTCCTTTTTTTCCTCCATTTTTCATGCAATCAAATTTGGTGACCCGACTTGCATCAATTCCAGTGGTACATCAAGTCGCAGCAAAGTTACAAGAATTTGCCATTGGACGCTATGTCCTCGTATGGTTGGCGTTGGTGTGGGACAAGTGGGCGCCCACATGGATCGATGATCTTGGATGCCGCTCCATAGACATGATTGCACCCATTGCTTATCATGTATGGGAGACCATGATGCTGATACGTGATATCATTGTGATGATCGCTCAAGAGCTATTGTATAAAGGCCGAATGCAATATGAGGGATTACAAGCAGCGTATTGCCATCAATTGTTACGTGCCAGCACCATCATTCTGCACACACGAGTTATGCAGCATATTGTTGTTCCCGTGATCGGGATCATCACCGACAGCACATTACCCGCACTACACAATATAGCAAACGCATTACGAGAACAACTAGTTTATTATCTCGTTCTTTCTAAAGTTACTCTTCAAGGTCATTTAGGCTTTGTAGGCATATGTGCACCATGAACAATTTACTCCAATAAAACACCTTCATATCTTTTATCAGATCAATGACTCACAGTGAGGTGGCTGGTGAAATTTCATGTCCTGCACCTGTCAACCATTCCTTTAATCTCTCTTTCTTTCACTCTTTCCATATACTCACTCACTCAACCCCAATGAGCTCTTTCGGCAAGGTCTTCCGTGTCACCACTTATGGTGAATCTCACTGCAAGGGTGTGGGCGCAATCGTCGATGGTGTTCCTCCTGGCTTACAGCTTACAGAAGCCGACATTCAACCTCAACTTTCTCGTAGACGTCCTGGTCAAAGCAACATTACAACTCCTGTAAGCAATAGAGACAACAACAACAATAGCCTCATTCTTTATTGACTCATTTCCTTCTATAGCGCAATGAAAAGGACAAGGTGACCATCATGTCTGGTACAGAGCACGGCATTACCCTTGGCACACCCATCGGCCTTCAAGTCCCCAACGAAGATCAACGTCCTCACGACTACAGCGAAACGGATGTCTATCCACGCCCATCGCATGCCGACTACACTTACCTTCAAAAGTATGGCGTAAAGGCATCCTCTGGTGGTGGTCGTGCTTCAGCCCGTGAGACCATTGGACGTGTAGCTGCAGGTGCTATTGCTGAAAAGTATCTCAAACTTGCTCATGGTGTCGAGATTGTGGCCTTTGTATCCAGTGTCGGCAAGGTTGCTATGCCCTTTGTGCAGCAAATGCAGGATGAGGAAAAGTTGGATCCCGAGTTTTTCGACTTTTTGAACACAATCAGCCGCGAAGAGGTGGATCAAGATATTACCCGGTGCCCTCATGCAGAAACTTCAGAGGCAATGAAAGAGGTAATTGTGTTGCATTGATGATATCAATGATGGATGACTCATACAATAGTGGTGTAGTTGATCTTGAAGAAATCACAAGAAAAGGATTCTATCGGTGGTACGGTGACATGTGTGATTCGCAACTGCCCAGTCGGCTTGGGTGAGCCATGCTTTGACAAGTTGGAAGCCTTGCTTGCACACGCCATGTTGTCGATTCCTGCAACCAAGGGCTTTGAATTCGGATCTGGATTCAATGGCACAAAGATGTCTGGTCACTTGCACAATGATCCTTTTGTTCTCCGTGAGGATGGTCAATTTGGTACAAAGACCAATTACTCAGGTGGTGTTCAAGGTGGTATTACCAATGGCGAAAACATTTACTTCCGTGTTGCCTTCAAGCCCCCTGCTACTATCTCCCAGGATCAACAAACTACTTCGTATGATGGTGTCTTTGGTACTTTGGCTGCTCGTGGTCGTCATGATCCTTGCGTTGTTGCTAGAGCTGTACCTATCGTTGAAGCCATGGCTTCCTTGGTTATTATGGAGTAAGTATACAGCTTGGATGGCTTTGGTATGTTCACAGTAATAACCTGATTGCCCTTCTTTTTTTTTAGTGCAAACATGCAACAAGAGGCACGCCGAGCAACATCCTCAAGACTCCCTCCTGTCGATATTCATCATTCATTGCTGGGAAAACCCCCATCCCCTCAATAGATATAGATCGTACATTTGACATGAGTCTGTTTTTTCCCCTCCCTTGGCAGCATGATTTGGCATGTAGATAACACTTTAATTTAGTATATACACAAACAATACATTTTTTGTTACACGCTTCAATCCAACGTATACACATTGGCAACATTCTTCATTTTATTACCATTGTAGCTTATTCACAATGAGTAGATGCATTGTCATCGGCTTGGGATATTGGCGTCATTGTGCTGCTTATATGCAAAAGTGCGGAGTTGAGAGCTGTTGCGATCTTGCCAACTATTGCTGCTGCCATTCAAAATCATTTTTCAAATTACTTTTACTCCCATTACGCCACATCCACCCTCCCAAATGCTTTCTAAACTATACCAATGGTTTGGGTGTCGCTTCCGCTCAACAATGGAAGCAAACACGAGACGATTTGGAACACCTTCCAAATTAGGAAGTTGACAAACCTATCATTGCGCGCGAACCAAAAAAGTAATGAGACGTAGGGCAGTAAGTTCGTAGAGAGGTTGACACGATAATCCAAATAAAGTAATCACAAGGGGTCCTTCAATCGTCAAATCCAAACAATAAGCAATCGCAACTGCTTCTCACAACGAGCTCCAATTCAAAGACAAAGATAAAGACAAGGGTTTAATAAAAATCTTTTCATGGCTATTCTAAATACACATCCTCAGACAAACGAGTGGTTGACAATGACAAGGTTTCAGCTATCCAAATCCAGCGACTATAAAAGGCAGTTGAGAGGCTGACTACTCCCCTACAGACGTCTCATGCTCCCCCTCTCAGCCGAACAACTGTCACCGATCCAAACGTTGTCGTTCAATGAATGCTTGTAATTGCTTATCCGCTCTTTGTGCCACAACATCAGGTACCAACTTGTCACGCGATTTCCAATTCTTCAGCTGGTCACCATGCACCGCTCCTTCAAGTCTTTTTCCTCCAGGTCCTTGTAACCAGTAAGTGCCACGCTCATTGACTCGTATAACAACCATAGGCCCAATCCAGCGATTCGCCAACTTGTGAGGCTTGTATTTATCCAACATCAAAACCTGGTCGCCAACTTGAAAACGTTTCTTCACCACATGTTGATCATAGCGCTCCTTACGTTGTTGCTGCTTGTGCTGTGTCCGTTGCCGAGAAAGTTCACGATGTTCATGCATAATCCCATTGATAACCTTGACCCGACTTGTAATTTCATCCGCCAAACGTCCTTCAATAAAATCCTTCCTTGGCTCAGGCCACGTTGCAGGTGTTCTTATATCGTATCCATATAGCAGCATTGCTGGACTGAATCCTGTTGCGTCATTTGGTGTGCTTCGTATTGCGAGTACCGTGGCTGCCAAACATTCATCCCATTGTTGCAACATGCCTTGATCCTGTGATATCTTCGACAATACTTCCACCACCGTTTGATTCATCCTCTCACAAAGTCCATTCACTTGCGGTCGAAATGCTGTTGTCGTAAGTGGTTTACATCCCATCCATTTTAAAAACGAATGTACATAATCCGACTTGAAGTTTGCTCCGCGATCAGTCAAGATATAAGAGGGAACGCCAAAATCCTTCACCACACAATTGAACAAGAATGCCGCTGTTGTCTGCTCACTGATATTCGGCACAGCTGCCACCACTGGCCATCTTGTTAAGTAATCGACTGCCACAAGTAAGTAACGGTTGCCATTCTTGCTTGGTGGGTTGATAGGGCCAACAGCGTCACAGCCAATCATATAAAAAGGTCGAGATGGAGTAGGAATAGGGTGCGCCTCTTCATGTCGTACATGTCTCCTTCGTGCTCTCAATTGGCATTGTTCACAAGCTTCAACATACTCTCGTACACGATCATACAATTGATAGCCTTCATACTGCAACCGCATACGACGCCACGTGTTATTGATACCCATGTGCCCTTCCCGATGCACCTTCTTGATCGTCTCCATAACATTGCCAGAGTGCAATACCTCTTGTCCAAAACTATCGTCTTTATTCTTGATGTATAACTTTCCTCGATATGGAAGATACTTGGCTGCCTTGTTTCGAATACGGCGTTTGAGTTTGTTGTCATTCATATCCCTTGGGTAAGTCCCTTCGGTGATGTAATAATATAGCGCGAGATAGTGTGCGTAGTCCATGGCTTGTAATTGAATGTTCTTGATAGCTGATCCGATACGTGTTGATGTTTCTTGATGATGATAATAGATGTGTGTAATGACAATGATAGAATAAAGTGATCCAATAAGTATATAATATCCCTTTTTTTTTTGTTCTTTTTCCTCTTTTAACATGTTTTTCTTAATCTTTTGCACTGCTTTTTTGTATTCCATATTCCTTTTTTTGTTCCTTTTCATGCTCTTTTCATATTTTTTTGTCTTTTGTACTGCTTTTTTGTAATGTATATATAATCTCCAACCCCCAATCACCTCACCAGCCGCGATAACGCATCTGCCGGATTGCTTTCCCCCTTCCTATGCTTCACCACAAAGTCGTACTCCATTGTTGCCGCCGACCATCTTGACACTTTCGGGCTTGGTGCAGGATTGTTCAAAATATATGTCAACGCCGAATGATCCGTGTATAGCACAAACTTACGCCCGCGCAAGTAATGCCTGAAATGGTACATTCCCGTAACAATGGCAAGTGCTTCAACATGAGTCGTAGCATAGCGTGTTTCAGCACCACGTAATGCACGAGACGCATATGCAATGACTTGTTCTCCTTCCATAGATCCATCATCCGACTGCGAAAGAATAGCACCAATACCTTTTCCAGAGGCATCCGTAGTTAATATTTGCACCTTGTTGGGATCCGGGTATGCCAATACAGGTGGATGAATCAATGCATTTTTCAGTGCCTTGAATGCTTCTTCTTGCTGTATACCCCAAACAAATTCACTCTTGGCCTTGATCAATTGTTGCATGGGCTGTGCCTTGTCCGCAAAATCAGGGATGAAACGGCGATAGTATCCCACCATACCCAAAAATGACCGCACATCTGCCTTGCTACTTGGTGCCACCATGTCCAACACCTTCTTGACGTTTCGATCCGTAGGCTTCAATCCTTCACGTGTGATTTGATGGCCAAGGTACTCAACGCTATCACTTGCAAACATGCATTTGGCCTTCTTGATTCGTAAATTAGCCTCCTTGCAGATATCAAAGACTTGCTTCAAATGTGCCACATGTTCATCCAACGTGCGAGAATAAACAATGATATCATCGATAAACACGTGCACACACTTGCCCAACAATGGTTGTAGAATCCGAGTCATCAATCTTTGAAATGTCGCTGGCGCCGTACTCAAGCCAAAAGGTAATACGCACCAGTCAAACACCCCATACTTCGTCACAAAACCGGTCTTGCGAATGGAATTCTCATGCATTGGTACCTGCCAATAGCCTGATGCAGCATCCAATGTTGAGAAATACCTTGCTCCACCCATAGAATCAACCAGCTCGTCAATGAAAGGCAATGGAAAATGGTCCTTGACAGTGATCTTGTTGAGACGCCGATAGTCAACACACAACCGTAACGAGCCATCCTTCTTCGCAACAAAAAGCACTGGTGATGTCCATTCGCCTTGAGACGGCTTAATCAGCCCCAACTCCAGAAGATGATCCAACTCCTTTCGCAGCTGAGTTTCCTCACTCCATGTCAATCGATACGGCTTGCTTTTGATGGGCGTGTCGGTGGTTGTCTTGATTTCATGTGATACGGCATTCACACGACCCAACCCAGCATGCTCCACGAAACAGTCTTGATATTTCTCCAACAACTCCTTCACCTCTTTTGGCTCCTCTTTTTCTTTCTCACACGCCTCTTTTTCACACTCCTCTTCACACACCTCTTTTCTTTTCTCCTCCCCCTCTTGACTCATGCCACCTTCTGAATCAGCGCCTTCGTACCAATCGTCCTTCATTCCTCGTGCCAATGTTGCTGCCACAACCTTGCTTGGTGTCTCATGAGCGTTTTGACTTGTATCGTGCTTGACCATTTGCAACATAAATACTTGAGGTCCATTTGACACAGCATCACCATCCTCATATTCCTTTGGCTTATGACGAGAATACCCTTGCACCACGACATCCTCCTTGGCTTCTTGAGAAGGTATAGATAGTGTCAACGTTGTCGGATCGATTTTAATGCCATACGCACGCATCCAAGGTAAACCAAGCAGCAACAAGTCTGACTGCCTATCCAACACCGTACAATGCTCACGTCGCAACTTGCCGCCAATCGAAACAGGTACATTCACACATACACCATTGGGTTTTGTGTCTCTCTCATCCAGCTGTTGTATTGACATAAGATCCTTGTTGATTGGTAGATCCAAACGCCTTGCAAGTGGTTTGCTTATGACTGACACTGAAGCTCCTGTATCCGCTATGGCCTCCACCGGTTCACCATTGATATGCACCTTGACGGCAAACGGCCTTGCAGTACCCATGGATTCAGGATTGTAGGGATATTGAGTAATTGAGCCATCAGAGAGATATCCATCAGCGTCATCATCTTCGAATTCGGAATCAAACAGGTACGATTCAGAGGCACTTCCTTCATCGTCTCCATCCAACTCATCCTCCCATTCCTCTTCTTTTTCATCATCCACCTCCCATTCCTCTTCTTTTTCATCCTCAACCTCACTCTCTTCGCCATCGGATCCAACAAGGTTCACGGCATTCACTTGGGTAGACAACGGTAGATTGGTAGTGGTTTTGCGGGGTTTGCGTCCATGAATAAAACGAATGCCATCACACAAATCCTTCGCTGCTTGCTTGTCAATGGCTAACCAATCCTTAAACGACATGTTGACTTGTGCATTCCCCAAAGCGTCCCAAATGTTCTGCTTGTTGGTATCCACCTCCAATCGCCTAGCCGGCTTCCTTGTCCTCTTCTTCACATCTTGCATGGTCACATCCTTGGTCGTACTTTGAGAAACTTGGTTCGGAGCAATAGGCAAAGTAATAGCGTTCGATTCATCATCCACAACCCTTCTCTTGCTTCTCTTCTTCAGTGGCGCTGATGCTTCACCCGATGCTGTTGACCTTGGACGCACACGACCATTCTGCCAAACTTGAACCCCTTGTATCAAGTGCACTTGTTGTTGTTGTTGTGTTGGTGGTTGTTGTAGGAAGGTTTTTGTATTGGGATATGGGACAGCAGCCTCCCCATCTACTGCTGCCCCTTGACTTTTCCCGCCTCTTGCATACGTTCATTACACTGATAAGCCTTGTGACCAACTTGCCCACAGTTGTAACATGTCAATGAATATCCGCCACCGTATCCATAGCCACCACGATTGCCGTTGCCAACATGTCGATTCAGCCTTTCCATGAGATTAATCTCCAAACGATTGAACTTGTCATTCATCTCATTTAAGGCCTTATCGAAACTGCTAATGCTGCCAACTTCGGAACCACGATCAGATGCTGCCATCACCACTGTACTCTTGCCACTGCTTGTGCTTTTTGAAGATCCACCACCAACTTCAGGAGCACGCTTGTACTTGATACGTAACGACTCTTCTTTCTTTGCAGCATCCACAGCTTCAGCATACGTCTCCGGCTCCTCTCTTTCAACCTCAAAACCAACATCATCCTTGAGTGCCTTGCATAAAAGATCAATCTTCATCCTTTCATCCTTTAATGCCAAACGTTGAAACAATGCTTGCTGTGCTTCAACCAACTCGGCCACACTTTCACCATCCTTTTGCTTGCGAGACTCCAAACGTCGCCACCAATCTCTCTTGATCGACTTGCTTGCATATCTCTCCGTAAACTTCTCCTCGAACACCTCCCATGTACTGGCATCATCTTCATGTTCGGCCCACCAATCGCCTGCTGATCCTTTCAAGTGGGAACCAGCCACAAGAAGAATGCTGCTATCTGAGATGCCACCACGACGTAGTCTTTTGATGCTCCTTAGCCAACCCATAGGATCCTCATCAGCCTTGCCGTAAAAATGTTCCGGTTTGGCCAACAATGATCGCAACAATTCCGCTTCGAGATTCCTGCCTCTAGGGGCCATAACACCATGATTTTCTTGATTCGTCATGTCGATAAGTCGATGGATGGATGATGTATCCAATGGATGAAAGTGTATTGTTGGGGATGTAAGTTGTTTTCAATAGTCTGCCGTACGAATGTGTGATAATAATATGCGCGGCTTCTCCACCAAAATGAGACGTAGGGCAGTAAGTTCGTAGAGAGGTTGACACGATAATCCAAATAAAGTAATCACAAGGGGTCCTTCAATCGTCAAATCCAAACAATAAGCAATCGCAACTGCTTCTCACAACGAGCTCCAATTCAAAGACAAAGATAAAGACAAGGGTTTAATAAAAATCTTTTCATGGCTATTCTAAATACACATCCTCAGACAAACGAGTGGTTGACATTGACAAGGTTTCAGCTATCCAAATCCAGCGACTATAAAAGGCAGTTGAGAGGCTGACTACTCCCCTACAGACGTCTCAGTAAGGAACGAAAAATAAGCCGTGATAGTATAGTGGCAGTACATTGCGTTGTGGCCGCACTGACCCTGGTTCGATTCCAGGTCACGGCATTGCTGAATCGATCTAATGAAGATTCATCAGTGATTCTTTTTTGAATTTTTTATTTTGGGTCACGTGACCTTGATGTTGCTGTTTTCTATAACCTTTATCTTTAACATTGCCTATAGTAAGGCATACTATTACGCATACAGTTTATTAGATGAACTTGTATGAACCGTATTCCAGCTTATTGGATAGAAAATCGCTGCTATTGGTCATTGGAGCGATTGCATTACATCATGTATATATTAGCTATCTCAAAATCCCAAGCATCCATTATTAACATTTGTGGGTACGCCACCGTTGTCTATTCTTTGCACATGATAACCTTGCACTTGAATCCTAATGATTTCTTTAAAGGAGGACTAGCCAACGTTATGAAGATTACAGTACCTGGCTAATTCCTTTCAACTCTTGCTATCCAATTATTATTATGCATAGCATGATCCTTTATGTCTCACATCAACATCCTGATAGCCTCCTCAATCCCATCGCACCATGTATATCCGATACTCTGCGTGATAAATGAGCTTATCTGGCTATCTGTTTTTATTTAAACATGAACAAGCATCTCATCTATATACTCTATGATACGTGTTTAAGCCGCATAAATGTAGTAAATGCAACTCGTCAACAGCAATGATATGATGGTCGATGTTGTTTTATTCGACAAATGGAGTTCTCGGGGGTCTCTAGCTCTCTTCTACGACCATGTTGTCCTCGTTGAAACGGTCGGCGGGCTTTCCCTTCTCACGTACAGCACAATGGATGAAAATCGGTTACAGCAAGCCAAGCAAAGTGTCAAACGCATAACTTTCCGCGATGCTTCAGGACAATGCGACATTCTCGTTAAACAGGTAGGACTTCTTCATTGGTGCATGTGGACTGGTAGCTGATTAGACATAGATCCTCGATTCTGCCTATGGTTGCTATATCTGGCCCTCAGCGTTATCCTTGAGTAACTACGTGTGGAATCACCGTGAGCGTTTTACGAACTCTACCATGCTCGAAGTAAGTACATGAGACACTCCCATTTACCTCTTGCAATGCACTCATGTCGTGCTCAGATCGGCGCAGGTAATATTGAATAGCAAAAGTCGTCCAAGTCAGCTTAACACGCGAAAGTCGATAGGCGTCTCATTACCATCATTATTGCTGGCCAAGACACATCACGTGCAACATGTCATCCTATCCGATCTGCCTTCGATCCTGCCCTTGATCCGATCGTGTTTTATACTGAATGATATTGATCAAGCCTTGTACGACATCCGTGAATTGCAATGGGGTGATCTCGAAGCAGCCAAACAAATGATAGCCATGGTAGAGGAGCAAGAAGGGAACAAAAAGATCGATTTTATCCTTGGCAGTGACACATTCTATGATCCAGCAGGTAATTCTTTATCATGGGACATTTGATATGAACAATGGGCTCATGGAATGAATACGATAGACTTTGAAAAGCTGTTGATGACGATCTCGTTTCTTTTAAGGCACCACAACCCTGAATGCGTTTTCATCACCGCTTATCAAGAACGAAGGTAGTAATGATGGTGTGGGATGATCAACAATGTGGGTCTCACATCAAGAACGATTCTAGTGCAAAACGAAGCATCCAGTATCTGCTTGACAAATGGCATTTGAAATGCAAGAGTATACCCAGCTCGTTTGTTGGTGAATGGAGTATAGTAGAGGATCATCAAGCCCAGGATGAAATGAGTGCATCAGCAGGATCGCTATCTAGTGTATTTTTATTAGAAATCAGCTTGCTATAAAAGAAAGCGTTACATTCATTGTCAAGTATAGCAATTGATGTGGACAATGACGGATGACTTTAAATGGCAAATGGAGGAGGTGGTGGTGATAGCGAAGAAGATTCTCACCTGGGACTATGATAGTAGTAATACATACCCCTTAAGTAATCCCTCGTGGCTAGAACGGAGATAAACGATGCATTACAATTTCAACCAGCTGCAACCAAATCATAAATGAATTAGCATTGAACAACAGCTTGCCAACAAGGGGGTGGTGTGAAATAATGTCTTGGCCACGCTAGCAAAGAAATGAAAAGTCAGCTAGCAATGAAGAAAATCTTTGTGCCAAAAGAGAAATGCTATGTATCACAGCATTACAGGTCCGTGCTGCTTGACCATCCCAGGTTGACAGTTGTGAAATGTCAACTTGGTTCACTACCGCCAAGATAATGTTTGTACAGCACGTGTGCGCATGACCAAGAGAGCACAGTCGTTAATTACCGTAATCATGCATGCTTTTCGAAAAGAGGTATGGTATACAAGCGATAGTAGAGCGACTGGGACACTTTGGACGACCGAATGTGTCACATAATTTGGCTACAAAACTCTCTCTCCATGCCCGGATGAACACTCCGAAGCTTTCCATTGTCGATGATTCGATTCATTTGTTGTTTCTTGTAATTAAGATGGATAACAAAGGACGTAATAATGGTATCATCTTAGACCAAGCCACATGATAAAACATAGAATGATTAACGCTTGAGCTTTTATTGTAGTATACAATGTAGGGGAGGAGGAATAGAAGAGTAGTGGCCTAGATAAAGCAATCTTTTTTTTTCAATGTATACGGTACTTTACTCAAAAAGGCTTGGAAACTGATCGTCATCGCTCTGAAACATGCTCTCTGTCGGAAGAAGAAAGCTTGAGATCGACTTCCAGCCTAAAAATACAACAGCCAGTGAGTTCATTTTTAGCACTTTTGGAGAAACCAGACTACGTTCCTTTATCCCCTCTTCTTTATTCTCTCTCTCTCTCTCCACCACCCTGATGGCCTCCAAATCCGAAGATATCCCAATGGGTCTACGACAAGACCGGGATGATCAGTCATTCCTTCCTCAACCTGCCTCTGCTCCCAAGGACAGGGGCCACCCACTCCCACTCATTGTAGCCGTGGTCGTCTTTTACTTTGTCATCTCGCTCTCAGTGGTGTTCCTCAACAAGATCATCATGAGTGGATCCGACTTTGAATATCCTCTTTTCATTACCTGGTATCAACTGGTGGTCGCCTTGGTTCTATTACTCATCTGGGGTCATCTCGGCAAAACGTAAGTTGGGGTCATATAGGTACCTGGGATATGATGTGAGGATGATGGCTCTCTAACTTTGGCATCACCGGGCTTAGCAACAAGCTTTTCAGCATCATCCCACCTTATGAATTCGATACCAACATCGCCAAGCGTGTGGCTCCTCTCACATTTGTCTATGTGATGATGCTTGCTTTGAACAACCTGTGTCTCAAGTATGTCGAGGTCACATTCTATCAGGTATGAAAAAGAGAGGAAGGATGATATGAGGGACCATGTTCTAAACAACGAGATAGGTTGCACGATCTCTTTCAATCAACTTTACCATCCTCTTTACCTACCTCATCCTCGGTAAAACTACATCTGCTCCTGCATTGGTCGCTTGTATCATTGTTTTCTTTGGATTTGCTATTGGATCTTATGGCGAAATCAACTTTTCATGGGCTGGTATCTTTTATGGTGTCGGCTCCTCAGCATTTGTCGCACTCTATGGCATCTACGTCCAAAAGACCTTGTCCGTGGTGGATAACAACCAATGGTAAGATTCTATATATAGGATGGGATGGGGGAACCCAACAAAAAGACTCACGTGTTGTTGTTGTTGTTGATAGGAAATTACTGCATTACAACACCACCTTGGCCATCATGTTCCTTTTCCCACTTGTTCTTTTCTCTGGTGAACTTGGTGAGATCATGTCACAATCAGAGTCCATCTATGATATGGGATTCTGGATTCTCATGGTAAGTGGCAATAGAGGTATACGACGCTATTTTGAGCTGGCATTAACGCATGGACCTCCTCCTCCTTCTTTTTATAGACCATCACGGGTATCACTGGGTTTGGTATCAATATTGCCATGTTCTTGCAGGTCAAGTACACATCTGCACTTACCAACACCATCTGTGGTACCGCAAAGGTGAGTTTCAAAAGTGCACAACAACCCAATATGGACGATGGCTGACCACAACATTGAATCACATAGGCTTGCGTGCAAACCATCTTAGCTGCCATGATCTTCAGAAACCCCATTTCTGATTTGGTAAGTAACAAACATCTTGTTGTAGTAGTAGTTGTTGGTATGGAATACTCATTCATTTCTCTCGTAGAATGCTTTGGGTATCATTCTCGCACTCTTTGGCTCTGGTTACTATGGCTGGGTCCGATACAAGGAAAGACAAGCAAAATGATGACATCCCTTTCTGCATGTTAGAATAAAGTACATATCTTGTGAATTTTTGGCATTTATCTGGCTAGACTTGTTTTATCATTGTGCATAGGCGTTGTTCATTATCTATGATACATGCATGAAATTCAAAGTACACGAGTAAAAGAAAAGTTCATTAGGGCCATTTATCATTCAAAATACATCCCATTGTACAATCAACATTAAAGCCCCATTATATATATACAAGTGAAAGTGTGCTAATCCCTACTAATTATCTAATCTATACAATAACATGGAACTTCCTTTCTTCTCAACGGGATTGTCGGATCTTACAAATGTCGTCTTCGGTCTTATCGATTTCATCCAAGATCCCTGCATAGGCAGCAAAGATCGTTTCCATCTCGGGGCCCAAGTCGTCGTATTCTTGTATCCGCTTCTCAGCAAAAGATAATTTGATTCGAGCCTCGTCAATTCGTGTCCGGAATATCGCACTACAAGATCACGTTGAGTTTCACAATAAAAGCGTGTTGTTGAATAGCATGCATGTACCTTAATGATTTCAGGGCATTGACAAAGTCAGCATCATACATTTTGAGAAGCATCGTCAAACGAAGAATCCTTTGGTCCTTATGTTAGTATACCCTTCTCTGCTGCCATCAAATAAAACATCAAGAGCATACATACTTTATCCGAAGGAGCAACGTATCAGTCAAAGCGCAATAATAGGCCGTGAATGTTTCCTTTTTCCGTTCATCCATCTCATAACTCTTGATAATGAGCCAAACGGTCTTCAACGTTTTGATAATGAGCTGCATGATTCCATCGTTCCCATTAGCAAAATGATTGAAAAGGGCAGCTTGCGATCTTTACCTTGATATAGTGATTTACCAATCTCGTCAACATCCTTCGCTTGAGTATCAGTCTTCCACGGCTCTGCTGCAGGCTTTGTTGTTTGTCTTGTACTAGCTGAATGTTGTCGCTGCCCAGCAAATGCATCACTTGTTCATATTTTGCTTGCATTGCAGCATCAACCATATCCAAGAGCTCTTGTTGCTTCCTCGGCGGGATCTGCATTTAGCTTTCATTAGCAAGCAGGAAGTATACCATCGTATCCAGGTGATCTACTTGCCTGTAGGACCTTTTGCTTATTCGCATCGTTGTCTCCAACAATATCCTGAGCATAGTATTTCCATCTTGTGGTTGGTTGAGAGGAAGATGATAATATCGTTACGATCTCTTGACGTTCCTGTCATGGTGACACATGTTGTCAGCCAAATACAAATATGGGTTTCGAAATCCTCCATGCCTACATACCTGGGACGTGAACGTGCATGATCTGATAGGGTCGTTCATAAGCGACTCAACTTTGGACAAGACGAGACGCGCTTCCCAATAAGGTTTGCTGTCATTGCAGATCTGCCATTCGATCGGGGGGGGGATCAGTTCCTTATTGCCTCATTGCCATGGTGAACCAAGACAAGTACCTCATCCAATGCTTCAACAGGTCGAGTATCCATTGACTTGTTCATGGTGTGTCGATGGCTGAAAGAGTTGCGAGTACTCATCAAGTTGAACAAAAAAGGAGTAAAAAGGTGGAAAACAAGCCCCGTGCATATGCACCGTATGTTGTATGTGTGTCACTGCCCATCCAACCAAGCTATTTTTGGTATTGACTTGATGCATCTTTATGAAGTGCCATGATTTATTTGCCACACCAGGTAGTACATAATGCTCTGCAATTATCTTGGCAATAGGTTACATGATACCAGAAGAAGGATTTGAGGGTCCCTTTTGTCTATGACTACTACTACTGCTGCTTCTACTTTCCTGACGCTAGGCATTGGTCTCTAAAAGATAATAGGATATTCGTTGATAGATGGTGGTGGTGGATATAGTGTTGTATAGGGTGATGCATAGTAATAAAACAAGATGTCTCATGATGTTGAATTTGGATCGTCGATATCTTCATCATCATCTGCTTGAATCACAGTATGGACAACGACTACTTGATTATCAAAGCTGACTTTTCTCTTTCGCTGTTTTCCTGCTGATGTTGTTTGCGGTGGTGGTGGTGGTTGTGGTAAACGTGACGTGGATAAAGGTGGCAATGGTATGGATGCTAAAGACTTTTGAGGAGAAGAGGAGAAGGAGGAAACTGGACCACGACGAGGAGGTAACTTGTGAGAGCGAATAGGCGATAAACTAGAACCTGGTGGGGGACGTCTATGGCGACATACATATATATCTGTGAGCCCAATTCAAGTCATATACATTATATACACACACATGACGCTTACGTGCGAGTGCGTGGGACTGATGGTATGATTTGCTTTGGTTGTCGATAATTGCATGCCGATGTCTTTTCGTCGCTCAACTTTTGTCGAAAGTAGTAGGATTGCGATGCACCCACTGTTACCGTGGCAACATGCACGAGGTTGCTACCGAATTGGTCAAGCATCACTGCCGTCATTGTAATAAAGGCTGTACGAATGGGGAACAAGTTGCAAGAGTGAGAGGAGAAGAATATGGAAAGATGTGCCCCAAAATAAACTGCAACAGCAGCACATTACATATGCGTGCCACCAAATGATGATATCAATACCTGGCAACGCTATTTCCATTTTTGATGTCATCGAGCACTACCATCATTTTAGCTTGTCTAAAGCATCTTATTACTACTTTATGCATTGCATCCACCTTGTTTGATACCCTATTCATGCAAATGCCACCGGGGAATTCTTGCCTTATGATGTCCTATAGACCACTTGTCACCACACCCACTCATTGTCGGCTGAGTAGCTATTATCCCTCATATTACCCGATATACTTTCAGGGTCACGTTTCATTTTAGCCACGTTGATGTGATATGCATTCGAGAGTCGAGTGATCAATCACTTGTTGTAGCTTTCATAAGAGGTCGTTGCTTCTTTATTGGAGAATGATGTATGATTTACATGCGATGGCATGGTTTAGCTGGGTGGAGGTCATGGGGTGTCCAATTTTACTGGGTGGCTATCTACTTCAGCTCAGAAGCTAAGCTCTCTTTTTCTCTCTTTTTTCTTTCAATGGAAAGGATTTCACACTTCGTTGAACGACACGAAGAAGCACTCCAATTCTCGTGTACAGCAGCAGCAGCTTCAGTCCTTACAGCGTCGGCGGTACTTGGTTACCAGGCTTGTCAACGACGACACAACTCGACGGCTTTAAAGAACCAGCTTCTTTCAGAGGATTTCCAACATGTCAAACTTACGTCGGTCGGGACGATCCAGCAACAGCAAAAGTCAAGCGACCATGACGAATCGCTCATTCAAGAACAGTTGGCACGCAATATTGCTTTCCTTGGAGAGGATGGGATGAAACGCGTTCGAGAGTCTTTTGTTGTCGTTGTTGGTGCTGGCAACGTTGGTTCTTGGGCTGCCTTGATGCTACTACGATCCGGTGTACAACATTTGCGCTTAATTGATCCTAAACGGTTGACACGTCGCAACATGGGCAATCATGCAGTGGCAGGTCAAGAAGATATTGGCATGAGCAAAGTACAGGCCTTGCAAACGCATCTCCATGAAATTGCACCCTTTTCCAAAATTGAATGCTGCACGGAGCGATTATGCACTAGTAACATGGCAACCCTTTTGGGAGGTAGGTGGATACCATCATGATGGCGAATTAGCAAGATGCTTATTACCTCGATGATGATCCAGACAAGCCAAGCTTCGTTGTTGACACGATGACCAACATTATTGACAAGATTGCATTGGTCGAATATTGTCATGCAAATGACATCAAGATCATCTCCTCCATGTCCCCTGGCGCCAAGGCTGATCCAACACGCATCCAAGTGGCTGACATAAGTGAGACAATGGGTAAGTACTTTGAGTTTTCTATTCGGCTTGGTATCTCATCCTTGTACATGTAGAGGATCCATTGGCACGTGCCTTCCGTCGAAGATTAAAGATGCTCAAGATCGATCGTGGTATTCCTGTAGTCATCAGTACGGATAGACCCCTTGATATAGGTGAGTTGGTTTATATTGTAAAATGGCACGTGGTGATGATATCTGATACTGTTTGGTATTACAATTAGATAAATCAACGATTGACGATTTCCGTACCCGGCATTTGGCTTCGCTTGGATCCGTTGACAGCATGTATGGAATGGTCATCACCACCCACATTATTTTACACCTTGCCGAGTTTGCCGCGTTGCCACCCCAAGCAATAAGGTTACGAGACACTCTCTTCAATCGCATCATGTATGAAGCAAGGGAACGAGAAACACAAAATTATGGAAGGTTTGTGCGTGAGAGAGACGAGGAAAAGCATCATGCGACGGGTATTCATGATCATCCACCCTAGCCCATACCCTTTCACAGTACACGATGTCGTTTATATATTTGAAGAGATTTGGCATGGCAAGAGCGTCATTTCAGGCCCACAAGATCGATTGACTTTGGCTCGATGGGATCGGAGCAAGCCTTTGAGTTTGGAAAATGCCGTTTGCATGAATAGAGATGAAGCACGTGCCCATGACCGCTTACCAGCCGATGTAGATCTTAGAAAGCATTATGGAGATGGTACGTATCATGTTATTTGAGTCATTGTTAAAAGCGTCTATTAACCACCATCATCTTGTAGATATAGTCAACTATGTAAACAAGCAATTCGAAATAGAAGCAAAGTTTCAAAAGCTGTGGGCTTAATATCTTTCCCTCCTCCCATGTCTTTTCAAAATAAAAAAAAAGCCAACGTGTAGAATGTATTTTAGGTCATAGGAATGTTATCAATCTCTGCTCTAACTCCTTTCCATGAGTCAACGTTCTAAAGTATGGTGATTCAAATGCATCGCCACAGGCGAGCAATTGATAGCCACGGCATGGTGATAGGCTGATTGCTCGTTGCTGCCAAGAGCAAGTCGGCTTCCGGTGTGGATATCAAAATCAGGAGATATCATTCTCCTTCTTTTCTGTGCGCGCTTGTTCTTGTAGCTGTATCCTGTGGCTTGAACATCTGCATCATGCTGAGAAGTCATGTGCTTTTGGAAAGTGTCCACATTCTTGCATGGTGTGCCGCACTTTGCAAGCGGGCATTTGAAACAGCCGCTTGAGAAAGGAACACGGATGACATCTAACAGTTTGAAGGGTCATGTGAATTTTGCTCCTTCCAAGAGATAATCTTTGAGCTTGCATTCACCAAGAGCCACGCTTGTACTTATGTCACCAACAAAGGAGTCCCAAATTTCCTAGACTGCGGTTGCCTTTTGCCTACAAATGTACAAGACACCCTTTTAATAACACACAGCAATATACAAACCAAAGGTGATGATCATACTTACCACAAAGGAGGATCCACCAAGGAACAAAGCCAAATGTCATTAGGCAGCAATGAGCACACCAAGTGGCAAAGCAATGAAGTGAGCTGCATATTAAGTGGCAATAAAAGATGAATGCATGAGTACGATACCCTCATTTTGGTGATCACATAAGACTATCCTTGAGACTTACCAGAGGCCACTGATGATGGTATGAATACAAGTAGAAAGAAAAGGTGGATGATGGTGTTGGTGACAACAGCCTTGTTTATATGTGAGTGGGCGTGTGAATTGTTGTCGTGATTGATTGAAGTGATGAAGTGGTCAAGCGTCTTGGGAGTACTGAGTCATACTGTCCAGCTGATGCACAAATCCACCTGCGGATTAAAAGGTGGTTGTTTTTGTAGGCACTTTCACTGCTCACCATATCACTTTCAGGGGCACGTTCCATTTTCGCCACATAGGCAAGCCATTCAAAGTAGAAGTAAAGTTTCAAAAGCTCTGGGCTTAATATCTTTCCCTCCTCCCTCCATGTGTTTTCAAATAAAAAAAGCCAACATGTGGAATGTATTTTATGCCATAGGAATCTTATCAATTTCTGCTCTAACTTCTTGCCATGATTCAAGGTTCTAAAAAGGACGACGACTATTAGTATCCTATCGTATGCATGGGCCTCTCCTTTCAATCCTTACCTTTTGACAATAACGTGCATGAATTTTCGCATAAGCAATCAACATGTCACGAAGATCTTTGACCTTTTCACGCTGAAACCGATCCAACTCTGTTTTCAATTCGCTTGATATCTCGGTCAAATCTTTGCGAGTAACATCCAAAGCACCTTGCAACTAAAAAAGGTTCCATTAGCATACGTGCCTTTTAGTTCCCATGTTTGTGATATACTACTTACCATCTCCATGGCATCCTTTGTCTTTCCAATTTGGTTACGGCGTGTTGCTTCAGGATCAACATCGATCATGCCTTGTAATTGGTGGCCCACTGCGTTCATCATGCGTACAGGACTTGACCATGGTCTCGTAGTAGATCGTCGAGCGAGCACTTGGGTATTCGAGGAGATAGGGCTATTGTTGTTGAGTTGCTCAGCTGTAGTGCCATCATCAGCGCCGCCATTGGATATCTCTGGACTACTGATAGCATGTTCCAATCGCTGTGCTTCACTTTCCATTTGTTGCAACATTTCCAATGTTTCCTTTTTGCTCCCCAGAGAATCTTCAATCATTTCGACTTGGGCGTGCTTCATATGGCGGAATCGTAGCACTTGCTTCACGATCTGTGCAAACTGCGAATGTTCCTGAATAGGCTCCGAAAAGTCACCTTCCAATGAAGCAACCTACATCCTATACATGTTAATCATTTCCCTTCCTTTGACAATCCCTCCCAATATGACATTACCATTTGAGCTGTCTCTGTGTAGGAAGTATCGACGGCTTGTCCAATCTTTTCAATAGCATTGGCTAATGCGCCCGACTCATTCAAACTGAATCCATTGTATACAGCACCCAACTCTGCATAGTCGTTTGCAAGCTCTAATCTCCCACACATGTCAATGGTTATGGCTTACAAGCATCCTTGAGAAGAACACACATACCTCCTAATCGACGAATGACTTTACGTTGGCTCTTGTCGAGATTGTTGCCCATGTAATTTGCAATGCGGAAGGTGAACTTTTCTGATTCTTCAAACTGAGGATTGGGTGTCTTTAGGATATACGTTGGTGATGGTATCGGGATCAAGTTGCTGGCGAGTAGGATGTTGCGATGCTGTAAATCGGAATCTTTGCTGAGGATCATATGTAGTGGGTTCCTTGGCAATGTTGATAATGGAGGGGAATGAAGCACATCGGACTATGCATATACACAACACAATCAATGATGTGAGTTGGAGATGAATGCTTGTTCATTGTTGATCTTACCCAAATGACACCATTCTCCAGGAAACGGTGAAATACATGATCTCGTCCTAGCTGTGGATGCCTTGCTACCCGGTTTAAAAAGGTCTGCAGCATGCGTTTGCGTTTCTTGACCATGGCTAGATCATCCTTGACACGTGTTTGAAGTGCCGCATAATCCACTATACTATGTTATTAGCCGCTTTGTAGTACATTCATGTGGTCCATGCTTACTGACCCAGCGAGTGCTTTTCTGGAATAGGCGGCACAATAAGATACGGATGCAAATGACACAATGCCTTTCGTAGAGATTCGAATTCGCTGTAGCGTCGTCTTGTTTCAATATCCTAGTCCAAGAAATAAAAGTTGTTGTTAATGGGGATTGGCATGTGACATGGGCACTACTACTACTGCTCTTCCATTTACCGATAAACGAATGCTGTAAGCGACATAAGACTTCCCGGCTGGCGTATCCGACTGCTTTTGTGCATCAGTAATGAAGATGTACTGCTCGTCTTGGAACAAGATGCGGTCAATGCTGCAGCCACAGGCTTTGGCGGTGTTGTTCATGGTAGCAGTAGAAAAGGAAACAATGTGCTTTCATCCAACCATCAATCGGCCATAAATTTAATCACTGTTGCGTGTCTCTTTCTCTCCCTTCCCATAGACAATATCATTTGACAGCATAATCTATCAATAAAAAGGAGTTTATTCACCCATGCATAGCGATGATGATTGCTGTAAACGGCATATTGGGTGACCAACTTAATGCATGTATGTTTGTAACAGCGAAACAAGCGAGGAATGTGCATGAATCATGGCATGTTGCATACATCATCCCTTTGTCTCTTGCTGTCAAGCAAGCGGTCATAAAGTATTGAATTTTGTGAGAGTCCAAGTAACGCATGCACATGTGTAAGTGTGTATGTGTGTATGTGTATGTGTGTGTGTGCACATGACATTGCAGAGTGATGATAAAGCTTTCGTCGTCTGGACTGAAGAAGAACTTGTCTTTGTTAGGAAATTGCAGGTGACCATGTCCACTGCATCAATGCTTTTTCCTTTGTTGTGGCAAATGCGATCGTTGGCTGGGTTCCCGAGTAATCCGAAGGGGGTTTCTTGCGAACGGACCACTCTACATGCTCATCCACCCCTACTACAATGCCATCGATACAAAGACACCACCTCTCTCTATATCATTATCATGATTTCTTTCCATCATTGGATCCTATGTACATTGTTGGTTTGATAGATAACGAAAATGACAATCAAGGGAAAAAAGAGCCAAGGTGGTCTCGATAGCAAAGAGTAGACCGACAGGTCCGAGGACGATGATGTGTGACAAATACAACCTTGTTCTTGCTGAAAACAGCCAAAAGGCTTTTTGAATGAAACTTCTCTTTCTTGTACCTCCTTTTTCTTTTCCCTTTCACTTTTCTTTTTCACGCCACTCACTTGTATTGATGCTCTGCAGACTACCAGAAAATGTCTTGAACCAGATCACTACGTATCTCGGTCTAAGAGAGCTGGTGGCACTAGGTGGCGTCAATATGCGATTGAAGCAGCTTATTTACTCTGACGAGGGAAAAGTGTGGCAACGGAATGATCTTTTATTTCCGGCCGAAGATAACTCGATAACCGATACGTTTATCCAAAACTTGGTTGGTGATATTCCACGTAGTTACGCTGTGCACAAGATACGTCTTGTTGGATTACCCCTTAGTTGGGCTGGTTGCTTCCGTGTCTTTGATCATTTTGCACACTCTGTCGACCATATTCATGTCTCGGCCACAAATGCAACATTGGCGGATCTCGTGTACCATCTTTCTGTGTTTGCTGGTAACCTGGCTATGCTGCAATATGAAAACAAGATTCCCATCACGTTCCGTGAATACACCGTATGCCATGAAGAGCACAAGCTCGCTTTATCCGAGAGCAATTATTTGGGCACACACTCGCTTGCTGGTCTCAATCGATTATTGGAACGCATCACACTAGATGATCCACCCTTTGAACGTCTCTCAAAAATCGATGTCTCAAGCACTGATGCATCCTTTGATCATGAAAACATTCGCCAAATCTACATGTTGACTGGTTTTCTTGCAGGCCGTCGTCCTCAAAATGGTAAACGTGCACATCAGCCTGATGGCGATGATGAATCTCCATATAGCAGTAAACATCGCAGGACAACAACCGAGCCCTTATCGCATGCAGCACCTGTGATCACAGCAGCGCATACTTCATCTTTTCAACAACAGCAGCAACAACACGCTTCACCTGGTTGCACCTAACGTTCCACACATACCCTTTTTATAACAATGCTCATGCATGAAAAAAAGTAACCCACTCCTTGTTAAACACATATCTACTTGCATACATCAACATATTGGCACGCATCGCATACAGTCAAAAAGCTTATAAACTATCTTGCATCAACCGTAATTGATATACATGATATCTCATGATGGTTTTTGGGAATGTGGGTAATCAATCAAGTCGTTGGAAGATGCAACGAGTGGAATAATGAGTGATTTGCTTTAGCTGCATCGACCATGGTTGAAGGCTTGATGATGAGCGAGAGGTAGCAAGTGGATGATAACATTGGGGTTGGATCAAGATAAGAAGGAAGCTGGTAGGAAGTTGTAATGCATAGCACATTCCTTTATTTTTTCTTTTCACATTGGCCATCATGCCTTGTTACCAAAATGACTCATGCAAGCTTAAAAGCATGTCACGGTATCATGGTAACCAATTAGCGTAGTATCCATGATACCATAGTTGCCATGATACCATAGCAACCAAGCATTGATTGAAATCAAAATTGATCATGGTATGAATCCTCGGCTGTAATGCAAAGAACATGATGGAACTAAAACATCAAGTGATTTTGGCAGATAAAGCAGCTGCTTGTAGGTTTCAGCGGTAACGCGACAACAGGGGAGATCACGCCATTGATAACAAAATAAGCTTACGCATCACTATTTGATGCCATCCATCACACGCATTCCATCGTTGAATGCATTAAACGTTTTGTTGATCGTATCTTTCCCATCATCTTTCAGTCATCCATGGTTGGATGGATGTGAATGGATGGAGCTGTTTAAATAGCAGGGCCCGTGATTTGGATTGCTCCGATGGCTCGTCATCAACACACGGTACCAATAAATCCCGCAAGCCAATTCGACAAGTTTATGGAGGATGGTCTTGTGTCGCGTGAACAAACACTTGTCAACAAAACCGCATGTGTAATGATTCCCATGCTGTCAGGTCCCTGTCATCCACCATGACAAGGGGTAATCATTGCTATGAAAGGGGCAGGACAATGAAAGAAAGAAAAGCATTCAAAGAGGATATCACGCTAACTACGCAGGATATGGCTGAGTCTCGAATCAACTTTCCAGCGATTTCTTCATGGTTCCAAACGCGTGCTATTTTGAAAACCTTATTTAAGCAACGTCCTGTACCTTTTCGTTCTCTTTCTCCTTTCCAAACAAAAAGTAACTATGTCTGAGGGAAAATCTGGTATGTATGCAATCATGATCTTGCTACTGTAATCCATTACTTACATCACCTTTTTACTTTTGCAAATCAATAGTTGGTATTGATTTGGGTACTACGTATGTTATCTTTTACCATTCTCTATCTTTTTCGACACCCAATTGACCTTTTCATGTCATTGTTTTAATAGCTACTCTTGCGTTGGTGTCTGGCAAAACGATCGTGTTGAAATCATTGCCAACGATCAGGTATGTTGTTTTTATCCCCTTTATGGTTTTTTCGTTGCCATGACTCACCAAAATGGCTGCTGCAGGGTAACCGCACTACCCCTTCGTATGTCGCTTTCACCGATAGCGAACGTTTGATTGGTGATGCCGCCAAGAACCAAGTCGCCATGAACCCCTTCAACACTGTCTTCGATGCCAAGCGTCTTATTGGTCGTCGTTTCGCTGACAGCGAGGTTCAATCTGATATGAAGCACTGGCCCTTCAAGATTGTCGACAAGTCCGGTCTTCCTGTGATCCAAGTCGAATACAAGGGTGAGACCAAGACTTTCACCCCTGAGGAAATCTCCTCCATGGTCTTGATCAAGATGAAGGAAGTTGCTGAAGGTTACCTTGGCACCACCGTTAAGAACGCCGTCGTCACCGTTCCCGCTTACTTCAACGACAGTGAGTAGTACTCAATAATAATCTCAGCCTCCCAAAAAATCTTACTGACTGTGTTTTTATTTTCATTTTCAAGGCCAGCGTCAAGCTACCAAGGATGCCGGTGTCATTGCTGGTTTGAACGTTCAACGTATCATCAACGAACCCACTGCTGCTGCCATTGCTTATGGTTTGGACAAGAAGGTTGAGGGCGAGGTATGTAAACAAAGCGGCTGAGTTGCATGTATACATAAAAAAAGGGGCCGTTGTGCTGATGTTTTACATTTTTTCATTCCTATAATAGCGTAACGTCCTTATCTTCGATTTGGGTGGTGGTACCTTCGATGTCTCTCTTTTGACCATTGAAGATGGTATCTTCGAAGTCAAGGCTACTGCTGGTGACACTCACTTGGGTGGTGAAGATTTCGATAACCGCCTTGTCAACCACTTTATGCAAGAATTCAAGCGCAAGTTCAAGAAGGACATCTCTGGTAACGCTCGTGCCGTTCGTCGTCTTCGTACCGCTTGTGAGCGTGCCAAGCGTACCCTTTCTTCTTCTGCTCAAACCTCCATTGAGATTGACTCTCTCTTCGAGGGTGTTGACTTTTACACTTCCCTCACCCGTGCCCGTTTCGAAGAACTCAACCAAGATCTTTTCCGCAACACCATGGAACCCGTTGAAAAGGTTCTTCGTGATGCCAAGATTGACAAGGGCTCTGTTCACGACATCGTCCTTGTTGGTGGTTCTACTCGTATCCCCAAGGTTCAAAAGCTCGTCTCTGATTTCTTCAACGGCAAGGAACCCAACAAATCCATCAACCCTGATGAAGCTGTTGCTTATGGTGCTGCTGTTCAAGCTGCTATTTTGTCTGGTGACACCTCTGAAAAGACCCAAGACTTGCTCTTGCTCGATGTTGCTCCCTTGTCTCTCGGTATTGAGGTATGTATTTATCATCATGGGGAACATTTTGGGAGACTTTGTATATTGATGGATGCATGTTTATGATTCATAGACCGCTGGTGGTATCATGACCAGTCTTATCAAGCGTAACACCACTGTTCCTACCAAGAAGTCTGAAATCTTCTCTACCTATGCTGATAACCAGCCTGGTGTCTTGATTCAAGTCTTTGAGGGTGAGCGTGCTCGCACCAAGGATAACAACCTTCTCGGCAAGTTCGAGCTTACTGGTATTCCTCCTGCTCCTCGTGGTGTTCCTCAAATCGAGGTTACTTTCGATGTTGATGCCAACGGTATTCTTAACGTCACTGCTCTTGACAAGACCACTGGCAAGTCCAACAAGATTACCATCACCAACGATAAGGGCCGTTTGAGCAAGGAAGACATTGAGCGTATGGTTGCTGATGCTGAAAAGTACAAGGCTGAAGATGAGGCTTCTGCTTCCCGTATCCAAGCCAAGAACGGTCTTGAGTCCTATGCTTTCAACTTGCGCAACACTCTTCAAGAGGAGAAGGTTGCTTCTGCTATGGAGGAAGCTGACAAGACCAAGCTTAACAGCGCCATCGATGAGACCATCAAGTGGTTGGATGAGTCCCAAGAAGCTTCCAAGGAAGAGTATGAGGGCAAGCAAAAGGAACTTGAGGAAGTTGCCAACCCCATCATGATGAAGATCTACCAACAAGCCGGTGGTGCTCCTGGTGCTGCTCCCGGTGGTGCCGCTCCTGGTGGTTTCCCTGGTGCTCCTGGTGCCGCTCCTGGTGGTGCTGCTGCCGATAACGACGGCCCTTCCATTGAGGAAGTTGACTAAATGCCATATTCACCATTCGCATCTCGCAAGATTTATTTGCATCAAAAATCCCTTGAAATTGTAATGATTTGTAAAAAGTGAAGGATATAGACCTTAACATATAAAATGTACAGGCAGCTCTTTTGTACATAAAACGAGAGCTTGCCCATTGATAAGCAAACATCATGTCATTTTGAGGCTGTTGTGTCTTTGACTCATTAATGGAAAGTGAAATGGGGGTTGTCATTTGTATTCATGCTTGAAAAAGGATGCATGTGTTACGTGATCATCCTACTCAGCTTACTTGTTGATTCAAGTACCATGTCCCATGCATCCATTTTGGAGCAAAGATGAGTTGCACATACACTAAAATCCTCTCGGCCACTTTTCTTTGATATTCCAATAGCACATTTTATTGAAGTGGGCTATGTGTATTGCAGCTACCTTGCGTTGCGTGAATGATCACGTGAGTGTATTTGCCAAACAAGAAAGGTCATCATTGAGTTTGCCACATGGCCACGCACAATGATAACATGACGATATGACACTAAGCCTATCTTTTGAAAAGGATGGTACGGTATCAAGAAGCATTACAATGGGTGTTTCCATGGCGACGAGTACAAATTAAATAGGCTGGGGCTGACCGTGCGCGGTTAAGGTTGTAATTAGCAACAACGTGGTACAAGGTGCTGCAGAGTATTGAACCCAGAAACGACATTAAAGTATATGACCCACACGATGAACAAGATGTGCATGTCATCCAACGTAATGCAAGTAAACCATAGCTTGTGGCATCAACATGAATCCATGGTAACATCAAATTGGCCAGGGTTACTCTCTCACTCTTACTCTCACTGGATACGAGCGGATGAAGCAACTTGTCACGAGCTAGTCTCGACATTTCAACTAAATATGGCAGCAGCAGCAGCAGCTCATTCTCTTTTTCACTCCTTTTCACTCTACCACCTTTTCTTTATTTCTTCCAAATATGCAGTGCCAAAAGAGTATTCTCAAGGCACCACCTTCTACAGCTTCTAATGGCACTACGGCATCCTGGTTTGCTCGCATTCACTCCAAGTTGTATACTCCAGACGATGTCCCCATTCTACCGAGACGAGATCTTAAACGAGTTACCTTTTCAGTCAGCAAACTCACTACGGAGCATGTCTTTGGTGGTGATAACGACAACGACAATGACGACCACGAAGACGACGACAACGACGATTCGAATGACCTAGACGACCATGTGGAGGAAGGACCTGAACAGCATGTCGATTCAGCATTGACCTTGAAAGAGAATCACTGTCGAGAGCTTCCAAAGTATTACGAGTGGGCTTGTCGGCTACGTGAGGAACAGCCTTTGGACCGGTTTATGGATGTCTTGAGATCTTGTTGGTGGGTATAGTACGCTGCTTTTACGGGTTGGATACTCACATGGGATGCATCAAGAAGCTTTTCACAGTTGACGACGGTGGACCTTTCCAATCAACCAATCGACACTCGTCAAATGGGTCCTATTGCTGATATTTTGATGATGGAGTGTGGATCATTGGAACTATTGGATCTCTCTAATTGCGGATTGGAAGATATGGTAAGAGATACTCCTTTTTTCGTATACATGGGTGTGTGAAGATGTATCATTATCTCATCATGTATTTGGTCTTTTGATAGTCTCTACGTGTGCTATTGCATAGCCTTTTGATCAATGATAGATTGCCAGAGTTAAGACTTTCTCACAACAGCTTTGAGGCGGATGGCTTCAAGTACATTGCCATTTTCATCAGCCAGGTACGCACATTCAAGCATCCTTTTGCTTCATTTTTCCATGCCTTCCATCTAACCCAAATCTCTCCTCCACACCCCCCCCCAAAAAAACTTCCCCTCTTTACATAGTCAAAGGCGATCACTACTTTGGATCTTTCTTGGTGTCCAGTGGATAGAAGGGCTGTGCGATATCTTTCACGTGGCATTGAATTGACTCAATCACTCCAAAACTTGTACATGGACCATTGTTCTTTGAAGCCCAATGTCGTCGAGATACTCGCTGCTGGTGTTCGTCAATCCAAATCACTACGACACCTTTCTCTTCGCCACAATCGTCTCTCTTCTCAAAAAGCAACGGATACATGGATCGCTACAATGTTGGATCGACCTGTATTCAATGATGATGAAATCCGAGATATGGAACAACGCAGGATATGGCCATCCCGATGTGGACTACAACGATTGGATTTGACAGGCAATTGCTTGCAAGCAGGATTGACCAGCATGCTCGGTGAAGCGCTCTCCATGAATCATACGTTGACCCATTTGGTGTTGAATGATTGTCAAATCTTTGCCAACGAATGTGCCATCTTGGCAGACGCTTTGGTAAGAATGTCTTTTAGTTGTGGATGCGCGAATTGGGGATCCTAATCTCATGCTATTGTAGTTACACAACCACAATTTGCGAATCTTGGATTTGGCGGACAACCCAATCACTATGCGCTCTGACCAAGGGGTAAATTGGAGGGGAGAGGAATGGGAATGTGTGTGTATAGCTCCTGAAAACGAGATCTATATACTCAAATTACGTGCATTAGATTTTGAGCATGAAAACCGCCCTTGCAAAGAACCATTTTCTTCAAGAATTGAATCTTGCTGGAACAGGCCTTGACTCCAGTGCAGCGATCACGTTGGCCGAATGTCTTCCAGAGAATTCAACATTATCACGACTCGATCTCACTCGTAATCCTCATATCGACATGGCAGGCATATTAGCATTGTCAATATCTATCAAGATGAACCACACACTGACGTTTTTGGATATCAATATTCCTGTAAGTATCATTGGATCAATGAATGATCGGTGAAGGCATTGTGGGATTGACTTCTTTGTTATAGGCGGGTGATGCTGAATTGGCACAACTTCAACATGACATTGTATCAGCGTGTACCGAGAACATGCAACGCGCTTTTGAAATGGGACCCGAAAGAAGAAATGCGGATCATTTTGAAGACGAAGGACCAGGCTCGTCCAGCTCATCTTATACATCTTCACCAAGATCCCAGCAGGTGGATGTGAACCATGGATACACTACAAAGAGCAGCATTTATCAAGGACAACATCAACAAGAACCTGCGCCTTCCAACTTGTCTATAGTAAGTGATGACCTGGATCAATGAAAATATGTGTACTGATGATTGTCCTGATAGTCCTCTTACATGCTTGATGAGATCCCCGTATGATAGATACCAATTTTCCCTTATCTCAATATTCTCCTTGATGATATCCTATTCCCTTATCCATTTCGCACACGCACATGTACATGACCTCATGCATCATGTAGTCCTTTTGTTTGTGATTTTCGAACACTTGTTTTATTCAGTGATGAAACTTTTCGCGCTGGGCGCATTATTGTATTTGCTTTTTACTCGTTACGACCTACCTTCTTGTTGTGTGTGAGATAATCAAACATTTAGGAAGCTTACCTTCTATGTTGTTGTTGTGACCCTGCTACTACTGCTACTACTATTGTACATGCATGGATGGTTTGATGATGATGACACGTTGATGAAAGCAACAACAAAACACAAGAGTCGATCGAGCCGATAGGGGAAAATTAATATTGGAGAGAGCGAGAGAGAAAACTACAAACAAAGGAGAAAGGGAGAGCTACGCTGCTGATGGCTGCTGTGTATATGTATTATTGGAAGCTGTCGATGTTGGCTTGTTGGATTTCACGCAAAAGGGCATCATCGGGATTTAGGCTTTGAAAGAGTTGATAATCGAATTGTCCTGAAGCCATTAAACGATCCGCCATCTTGTCAATAGCAATAACGGCTAATACGGTTTGGATGTACGCATCAATGAGATCGTCGATGCCAATACCAAGCTGGTTGAAATCACGACGATCCATAAGAATAAGCCTTGATGTATCCGTAGTCCAATCCCCATTTGGCAACTTGATGGATAAGTTGGTGCCGAGCATTTCCCACGTGTCATCTGAAAAAACCATTGTTTGGTGCGCATGAACAAAACAATCGTGCCAATTAAACTTACCATGCGGTCCCAATTTAGCGGTTAGTGGCCGACGTGCTTTTCGTCCATAAATACAAATAGGTCGGAATCCATTTTCATCGCCTGTTTCATGATGCGTGAATATCATTGATGCTTCGTTTAAGACATGGGAGTGGCTATTTTACCTGCTATCATCATGCGTAGATCGCTAACAAAGGTGTTGGTCTTTTTGTTGGGTATGGTGCCAACGTGGTAAAATTTACCAGTCCGAGTGACACTAGACCAAGATGCATTACCAACTAAGGATTGGACAATAAACTAACGAGCAATAATATGGGTGAGTGGCTCTTCCTTTTCCTTGCAAAGGAAAGACTTACCTTATCGTAATAATGCTTTTCATTCATGAAATTGGAGAGCTCGTCATGGTTGGTGATGGTATAAACGCCTTGGCCTGCATTACTATAAGGCACCTTTAACACTGCATGACCACCCATAGAATGAATCCACAATGGTATTTCTCCCAAAGTAACGTTATTAACGGTCTCAGGCGTGCGAATCGAGAGACCTGTATCCACCAGCTCTGAGTTGTAGAAATCGTATGCTCTTGCCGCCATCATTTTGTTTCGACCCCCTGCAAGACAAGAGATAATTTGATTCATGACAATGGTACGTGTCTTGAGTGGAAACCGATTCCAGGGTTTTTGTGTCAAATATCGGAAGCATGCACGTATGGGGTGCCACACTACAATGATAAATTAGTACAAACACACACACATGTGCACGTCGTAGGTATGGGAATTTTACCTTGATGGTCGTCTCTCACGTGCAATATGCCATCCTGCCATTTGACATTGGGATCGGTGTCCTTGTCGTACCATTCCACCAACCACACGTCTTCTTTTGCTACATCCGCCAACACAGCAGCATAGCCACTGGATTCCATCAAATTCTTGTCGTAGATCACTGCCAAGCCGCCTAAGCTGGGATCGGCTTTGGATAGTTGACTTTTGAAAGCGCTTTCGATCACCACACGATAGCCACCGTGTTCATTGTTTTCTTCCGTCTCTGATAAAATTGGCATTGATTTTTGGCCACTGGGACATGAATTGGTTTCAATGACAATCATTTGCCGTTGTCCTGTGGCGGTCGTGACATTAAACAGATCAGAGCCTATAGCAGCCAAAATGATTGTTAGATGTCTAAAAGTCTGCTTGTATAGATACAACATCAAAACTTGCCTGCCCATTGAAAATAGCGCGGGCTATAAGATAAAATATCGCGTAGCGTTTCAGCCTTGACCGATGGATTCAAATGAGTGTAGCGTGCAATAATACGCTCGTTGCCAAGAGTCAAAAAGGATTGAACAAGAGGATGGATTTGAGCATTGAGGACTCGTGGATAAAAATGCTGCTCTGGTTCAAAATCGCCTGTTGAGACAAGGCGTGCAGTAGTCTTGGGCTTTTGTTTGAGCTCCTCCTCGGTTGGAGGTGGGGTCTTTGGTGGAGAGAATTGAACAGGTGGTGTTCCGGTTTGGGTAGAGGCGGTTTTGTGTGCGAAAAAAGGCTCGGTATGAGGAGGAGAAGTGCCTGTAGCCGTGGTAAAGTGCAGGTCCATGGTTGACGATGAGAGATAGAAATTCGAAAAAGCTGTTGTGTGCAGGGTGATTTTAATTCAGAGTACCTTTTATATACAAGGGTTTACGTTTCGCGAATGATACTGGGTGCATATGTGCATGATGGGATACGGAGCAAAAACGCAATAGATAAAGAAACTCCTCATGGGTAACGCACCATTTTGCCATTGGGTGAATTTGAGATCATTTCCACCACAATTGGCAAGTTGTTGGAGACCAATCGTGAACCATTTCCACTCCACACCAACATTTCATCCACCCACCCACCCACCATGCATGATTGTGGTTCGTTGATCCTAAATTGTCTTCGTGCATTCAATTCAACTCTTCTCCTTGAGTCATTTATCATAACGGGATCATCCATCATTTGCTAGCCTAGCCAAACTACTAGAAGTCGACTTGATCCCATCATCATCCTTTGATCATCCCAGCAGGGGTAGTGAAGCGAGCTTCTTTGTGTGTGCTGAGAAAAAACAATGTCCTTTTTTTATGATCGACAATGAAAAGCGATAATAGGGAATAACGAAAACTTTGTTTGGAGGATGTTTATTGGATACTTCTTATGCAACTGTAATTGGTGATGGTGCTGTTGCCATGGATACCTGTCAAATGTCGGAGAAGACGACTCCTCTTTTTACTGCTTGATCAAGTAAAACTTTTATTCGTTCGTCAAAGCATATTCCTCTCTCCCAATGCACAAGATTGCAACCGTCATTGGCACCACAGGCGTTGGCAAATCGCAGCTGGCTGTCGAACTATGCAAGGCGCTTTGCGGACAAGTGATCAATGCTGACTCAATGCAGGTTCTTTTGTCGATAGCCACGACAATGACCAAGGTGTTAACTTTTTCCAAACATATAGGTCTATAAGGGTCTAGATATCATCACCAACAAGATGCCTGTGCATGAACGGCAAGATATACCTCATCATCTTATGGATTTTCTCGAGCCAGAAGAAGAATACAAGGTCACTGATTTTCAAAACGACGCGACTCGTTGTGTAAGTTGTGTGTGTGTGTATATGCATGCATGATGATCACAATCTCATATCAGTATCATAGATCGAGGATCTAAGTGCAAAAAAGCAATTACCGGTGGTTGTTGGTGGCACCAATTATTACATTCAATCACTCCTCTGGCACAGCATGCTGATTACGGACCAAGAAACACAACCGAAGCCGACAGAGTTGGATCATCTTGATACCCAGGAGCTTTTGACCCGTTTACAAAAGGTGGATCCTATCATGGCGAACCGATGGCATCCTTCGGATCGACGCAAGATCATACGCAGCCTACAAATCTATTATCAGACGGGGCGTCCACAAAGCGAGATCATCAAAGAGCAACAAGAACACCACGAACGACATGGGGTCCAATCAAGGTAAGCTATATCATATGAAAGAATACGACATGTGTTGAACTTCTCGGGTTGATTAGATTCAAATCATTGATATTCTGGCTATATGCGGATCCTTCCAAACTCAATCCTCGGCTAGATGACCGTGTGGATACCATGATCAAGGTAAGGATAAGAAACGATTGGATGATTCACATACAAGGAAGACTAACACGCTTGCTTGGGTGATACAGGATGGTCTATTTGACGAGATCAAATCTTTGAGAAAGCAAGTAGTGGATGGCCAAGTTAAGCTACCTGGTCAGGATCTTGAAAGATACCAACGTGGTCTATGGCAGGCTATAGGTAATGTTTGATTAGGAAATACATAGGTGGATGCACATTGGCTAACAATTACTTTTCACCTACAAGGCTACAAAGAATTCGATCCTTATTTTTCTGCCATTGAACAAGATACGCATGGGGAAAAGGAGTTGGATAAGATACGCAATGAATGCACCGAACGAATGAAATCGGCAACGCGACGTTATGCAAAACGACAAGTACAGTGGATTCGCAACAAATTGTTACCTATTGTGGCCAAATCCAAGGATGTCGACATATACCTCTTGGATGCAACAGGTAAACGTCAAATAGGATGGGATGATGTTATGAAGGCCCTTGCTGATAGGAGAGTAGATCTTGATTCCTGGGAGACAAATGTACGATTACCAGCAATACAAGTCGCTGAAGGTAATAAATACCTTGGGGGATCTCGACAAACAAGGATGATATTGATGATCCATGCATGATTGTTGTAGCTTTCCACAAGAATGAAACAATGCCCGATCCGCTGAGTTTGAGTTCAATTGCATCAACAATGCTGTCGCCATCATCATCTCGACTTGAGTATGTTTTATTCTCGATCCTCTCTCGTGATCAATGCTAATCATGGATTCTTTAAAAGCTCCCAGACACGTGTATTGACTTGGCAAAAGCATACTTGTTCTGTTTGCAAGGCGACCAACGGTGAAAGCTTGATCGTGAATGGTGATTTGGAGTGGAAACAACATTTATCAAGCCGTGGTCATCGAGCAGCACTCAAACGACAAAACAATGCCACCCGTAACCAAGCAACAAAACAAGAGAAACGCACCAAAATAGACGACACGACCGAAGAATAACGAGATACAGCAAAAAACAAGGCTATGCGGCCGCCGGGAATCGAACCCGGTCATCCCGCTTGGGGGGCGGGCATCTTAAACCATCCGATCCCGACCGCTGGAGTGCTAAAAATAGCAAAAAAACGCTACAAAAGACGTTCTAGGTTACACAAAGAAAATCACTAGTAAAGGAGAAGATAAAGGCATCATTTTGGTCATCACAATAAAGAAAGCAAGTGTGTTGAAGCAAAAAATGGGATGTAAAGGGAAAACAGGCTAGAAAAGCATGAATGAGGAGTTGATGTTCCACCAATGATTGGGAGGCTGGTTTTCCGATGAATACTTTTCACTCCGCAAAAGAATAGCAGGTTGATGATCAAGCTTTTTCTCTCTCTCCAGAACCACATCATCCATTTTATATAGTTGTTGCAACTATCACTATTGAAACGTACAGTAAAACCATGGCAACATGATCCTTTTACAATTATCTGCGTTGTTTTCTTTTTCCATGTGCTGACAAATGGAAGGATTTTCTTTTTGTTTTTGTCCTTTATATTCAATCAAGAAGCAAAAAAGCGTTAAAAGAGAAACGACTCCTCGTCTTATCTCCCATCCTTTATATAACTTCTGGTAAATACGACTACTCTTAAAGCCTTCTATTGGCTGATTAACCGCTGCTGCTTTGCCATCTATATACATACCAGCACCAGTTACGGTTGCAATTCAATGCCTCGACCTTCTCAACCCCAGACATTCCATGTCAGGAAACGAGGATCGTCGTCCGATGAAGACTGTTTGAACGTGTCAGAATCAACAGCAGCTAGCGTTACGCAAAGAAAGACCAAAGGCAAAGGAGCGAACGCACGCAGTCGAAGAAAGCGATACCGTGCCACCCGTACAGACGACGACGACGACGACGAAGATGATGACGAAGAATATACTCTTGCAGCAGCAGCCGATGGTGGTTGTGGTGGTGACCATCAAGCAAGCATTACCCAAGCCAGTGTACCGGCATTCTTGCATAAGCTTTACAGGTACGATATACCAAAAAAACAGCAGCAGTAGGAATCATTTCAACTCACTCGCCCGCTTCGTGTCTATGTAAGCATGATTGACGAGCCGACAACCGACAAGCATGTTCGTTGGTCTGAGAATGGGAAATCATTCATTGGTAAGAATAGAGTTTATGATGACGATGACGATGGTGATACTTATCATGAAACGATAGTGGAGGATCATGAAGGTTTTGCAAAGACGATCTTGCCCTTGTATTATAAGCATTGCAAGTTTGCTTCGTTTGTCCGTCAGCTCAACATGTACGATTTCCACAAGATACCAGCAGTGCAACAGGGCGCCTTGTTCCAAAACAACGAGCATGATTTATGGGAGTTTAGTCATGATCACTTTTATCGTGGATGCAACGACAAGTTGGCCCTTGTGACACGCAAACGCAACAAGAATCTCGAGAGCAGCACGACACGTAGTTCTTTGACATTGGCCAAGCTTGTGCGTGATATCGCCAGTATTCGCAAGCATCAAGCTGGTATCACATCCGATTTGAGCAGCCTTCAAAGTGACAATGCGACCTTGTGGCAAGAATCATTCGCTGCACGTGAAAAGCATCAACAGCACCAAGATGTCCTCAACAAGATATTGCAATTCTTGACAACCGTTTTTACCAATGAAGACAACCTTCTTCAAGCAACAGCACAACAATTACGAGGCCCCTTCATGCTTGGCAAAGATAACGAGTACATTAGTCTCACCGGCCAACCTTCATCATCAGGTATGTTTGCATAGTTTGTGTACAAGCAGGATAATGATCTTGATCCACCCTATCCCTCGCTTGTACAGGATGTCGAAATAGCCCGTTGATCATATCATTTCCTCTTTCTGTATTCCACTCTTTTACTTTTCCTGCTACTTAAGCAGATGGTGGTCAGGAATCCATCACTGGAAAATCAGCTACGAGATTGATTGAAGAAGCAGCGAGCCTTGTTGGTATGACACCATCACCATCGACAGCGAGCAGTGAAACGAAGCAGCTTAATGATGATAACCAGCAACAGCAACAACAACGTGATGAGGCTTTGGGTAGGTGCCAATCCACAGAAGAAGCCCGATTACAAGAGGCGTTCAATAGGACGTTATCATCCTTATCATACTCAATGTTCTCTCTCTTTGATTCGCCAAAAACTGCAGATTCATCATCATCTTCATCATCAGGAGGTACAAGATCATTCCAAGGACCACCAACCAATGATATCACCAACCCCTTTCCTGATGCATTCAATCGCGTGTCATGTTCAGCAGAAACCATCACCCAAGACATTGATGACCTGGAGGCTGACATTGAAGCACTTGCCTCTCATATTGGCATTGATTCGAACGATTTTGGAGAGACATTTGATTACAATGAGCACATGAATGATTTTCGAGATGGCTATGGTTCAATGATTGCAGGTGCATCTCGTTCGGACAAGATACAACTATTTGAGCTTGCTGGGGGATCGCATGTGAGGAACAGATACGATAGCGAAGGAAGGGAGATTTCATCAGAGGGTAAGAAACCAGCTTCTTCTGCAACACCCAATTCGAATGATGGTGGCGACAACTTGTATCGACAACAACATTCTTTTTCGGGTATTCCACCACCACCACAACAACAACATCCTTATTCGAGTGCTGCTTCCATGGCCTCATGTGTTTCTTCACAGGTATGAAATGACTTTTATGGATCCAAAGAGATGTACTCATTCATTCGTTAATAATAGCAACACAATCCAGCCACGGGTTCGATTCATGCTAATTTGCTCCAATCCTTTTACCATGGCATATCAATGGCACCAACCTCTGGCAGTCAACCTCATTATGTGGCTGTTCCTGTTCCTATCCCGGTCCCTGTATCTCTTGAACAATACAATGCAGCTACTGCAGGTGGATCTATTCCTGGAAGTAATCATCAGCAAGGAGGAGGAGGAGGGACAATGACGCATGCCTACTATGCTGCTGCTGCTGCTGCCGCTGCTGCTCAACAACAACAATCAGTCAATCAAGCATTATATTCCCCTGATGGTCCTTTAGGTGCACAACAATCACACAAAGGTCATGGTACCCATTCAAATCCACCTTCAGGCAGCGACAACAATCAATCCATGTAGCAAAAGCATCCTTTTATTATAGCTATCACAATGAACAACAATACATTGCTCTATCTTTTTGGTTTTTTTTTGTGGAAATGACTTGTGATCTTTGCTTAACAATGAGACAAAAGGATAGGTTTGAGTTTCTTGTGGAAACGACTTGCGTGATCTTTTACTTAACACAATGAGACAAAGGATAGGTTTGGATTTCTTGTGGAATTGACTTGCGTGATCTCTTACTTAACACAATGAGACAAAAGGATAGGTTTGAGTTTCTTGTGGAAACGACTCGCGTGATCTTTTACTTAGCACAATGAGACAAAGGGCCAGGTATTAGCATGCTGAGTAAAGAAAGGAGGTTTGGATTTACCATTGTGACACCACCGGATCCTGCACAGACCTCTTGTTTGACCAAGATGCATGATAACGGCATAGAGGATGACCCTCTTCGTTTGTTGTCAGGAATGACATTTACATTCATCACCCATTTGTTGTCAGCTACAGGATATAAATACAAGTACAAAAAATTCACCCAACAGCATTCCATCTTCTTTCTCTCACTTTCCATTTTTCTCACCTGCTGAAATTTTCGCCATGATGTACGTAATGTAAACACCATTTCAATCCACCCTCCATTATTGACTTTTCCCCCCCTCCTCTCACATAGGTCCGGTAAAAAGCAAATGAAGGCTCCTTCTTCCTCATCCTCTTCCAAGATGCAAACCTATGAGCACCATCGTGATCTCTATGACAAGCGTGATCGGTATCTTCAACAAATGATTCTCGAAAATCAACGCCGTGCTATTGAACGACGAAATGAAATGGCCCGTTTGCGTCGTGAGAATCTTGCCAAGGGGTTCGCAGCCTTGGATGCCGAGCTTCCTCAAACTAATCCTCGCCGTACCCAAGTCCGTGTATTGAATGATGCCACTGAATACGTTCGTGTACTCAAGAACCAAGGCGAAGGAGAAGAAGGAGACGCTACGATGCGAGATGATGATAACGATGAAGACATGTAAACATGAACCCACACCAAGAAAAAACTTTTTGCAAGCTACTATTACTACCCATCAACTGAATGAGTCATTATTTGCTTTATTTTTTGACCTTTGACATTGACTCAATAAAGTGTATGCATCATTGTTGTTAAATGTGTGAGAGTGTGTTCTCGTGCTACTGATTACAGCCGCAGAGAGGGAATAATTTTTCAGAGAGCGAATCAGCAAAGGGACCACTTCTTCTCATATCTCTTCACGCGTTTTCTTTCTTCACCCCACCCCCTTTCCTTTCTTCTTATACACCATCGCTTCTACCCGCCAAACCTCTGCTCAATACAATATACGTCACGAACGATGGAGCAGCCTCGTAACCCCAACAATCGTCCCATTGGTGGTTCCAAAGAAGCTGTTCCATTGCAACAATCCGAGGGATATCGAAAGGCGCTTCGTCAACAGCTGGCTGCATGCAAGTTCTATCTCGATGGAGTGGATGCTCACAATGAAAAGCAAATACGAAATCGCTTCCAGTTATTAGGCTTGGTGAGTGCCTTTGCTTGTGTATCTCTATTTGGCGTGGTCTAACTAAGGGAATATTATTTAGCAATCAGTGGAGCCTTTCTTTTCCAAAAAATGCACGCATGTGGTGACCACCACGCCATTCAATGACAAGAAGCTTGGAGAGAAGCAACCAACATCGAATCCAATCATTGATAATGCTGTCAAATGGAATATCAAAGTCTGGAGTCTTGATAGTAAGTCAATGGGATGGTGTTTTGCATAATCCATTTACTTACATCTTTATGATAGAGTTACAGCGTCATCTTCAAATGATGATGGAAGGCAATGGCGGTGGACATCGTGCAGCAGGAAGGGGAAAGATTGATAAGCTTATGGCGTTGGAAAAGGCCTATGGTGTTGGTACGAGTCATGGTGAACGGCATCATCCTGTCTTTATTCCTTTTACCGAATACTACTTGTCAGTCGAGGACGCAACTCAAATCCATCGCCCAGTAACACAAAAGCAATGGAAGAAGAATGAAGCGGGATGGCCTTTTTTGAAGAAAACACCAGCACCCAAATCACCTTTTGCTCGTATTCCTGTAAGACCACCACAACCACAACCACCAGCATCACCATCAGCAGAGCAAAAACCTGGCACGGATAATAAGCAACAAGCAGCAGATGTTCAATTACCATTTGGAAAACAATTAGCTGTCAAGGATAGCAACGCCAATCCAGCATCGCCGGTACCTTCTGATATGCTAAAGCCATCTGGTATTCGACCCACCTCGACTACGACAACACGAACCAATACAACAGCTATACACACAACCACCACAACAGCCAATACAACATCTCGACTCACCTCCAAAGCATACAATGATAAACGACAAGCCCATGATGACAATGTCGCAAAGTTGGATCGACGTATGGTGGATAACAATACCGTCAGAACAGCAGCCGTAACAAAAGCAGCCAACAATGTTGCACAAAAGATGAATGATGCAGATGCCATGCGTGCCAAGAACAACATGAAGAAAAAGATGGAACAAGAGTTGAATTATTGTGAGAATTGCAACAAGCGATTTAGCAATCTTAACGAGGTATGGATGATGTGGATCGTTTTTTATTGATGGGTGTCGTCCTGACAACGTGTTTTGATAGCACATACAAGAAAAAGGGCATTTGGCTTTTATCAAGGATCAAAACAACTTTAAACAACTGGATGCACTGCTTGCCACGGTTCGACGACAATACAAGCAACCATTACCGAGCCATATGAAACCCGACATTGATACCAATATCGATGGAGATGATGTTCAATTCGAATTGGATGGGGCTGGCACCAAACGAGCGATCCATTACATGGATGTCGATGAAGGAGAACCTCCACTTGCCAAACGCTCAGCTACTACTTCTGCTGCTGCTGCTGCTGCTGCTTCATACCCTCCTCTTTCCCAGTAGCTGTAGTAGTCATCATCATAGTAGTAGTAGTGGTAGTAGTAGACATCTCATTACTTTTCATATCATGTAAATAGTAAATTGCATACTTTCATTCTTTTTTTAAAAGCATTAAAGAGGGTAAAAAGAACAAAGCTCGAAAAGATTCCACGTGGTTCTCCAGATGATATCCTGCATTTGTGTCATAGGCAGTCACTTTGGCCAAACGGAGTTGTCGTGGGATAATGAATGATGGTTTTCTGCACGACACGTCCTCTCTTTTCTCTTCTTTCTCCCTTTTATTCCATATGTCTGAAACCAACGATAATAAGCCCAACGAAGTCGACCGCCTGAACAAGTTTGTCGAGGCTGCACCACAATACAGCTACAATATCGACCAATACCGAGGCCAAATCTGTCGCCAGTTGCCTGGAGGTCAAGAAGAGTGTTTGAAGCTTAGCCTCGAATGTAAGTAGTGTGGTATGCGGAACAAATAAAAGGGTTGCGGATACTAAAGAGTGCGTTTTATAGACACTGAGATGTTTTCGCAAATGCAAAAGTTGGGCTTCTTTTGTGCTTTGCCTATGGATCCAAAGAAGACTCATATGGAGTGCACTCGTGTATAAACAAGGCCTTGCCGTCATCGTCATCAGCAAGCAACAAGAGAAAAAGGAAAAAAAAACACATCAGCACCAAAACACCCCTACCATCACCCCTACTCTATAGAGACCCACGACAAAAAACAGGGAAACGTACTGTCAATATAATGTATCCGATCGCCTATCTCTCATCATCGTCATCATCATCATCAACAAGCTACTTGTATACATACGACAAAGCGTATTTTTCTACAGAGATTGTTTGACGTATTTACTCGTGTAACTTGACCCTGGCTCCGCTGACGCGGGGAACCCAACACAGCAAAAAATGGGTGTGTGTACATATAAAACTATGGCCCCACAGCAACACACACTCTCTCTTTTCTACCCTACATTTGTCTCTCGGATAATGCCCATGTCAACAACAGCAGCAACGATCTCCTTGTAAAAGGAAACGCCATGAAGGTGTTGCATGGATGCTTGGGGGCTGTGTATAGAAAACCATGGTCGTCATACTTTTTAAAGACCGCAACCTGGCTCGGTTCTTGCGTTACCACCGAGGTTTGACATGTTGATTTAGCTGATCAATTATCGCCGACATGTTGACATGATCGTTTCTTTTTTTTTCCCACCTCATTGTATCCTTCTCTCCCTATCATTGTCATTCATGGTTCTATACGCTTTATTAAAAAGTGCAATGCAAATGTGTATGTGTGTGTATGTAAAGGGGGGAATGCTAGTGTGGGTTTTATGTTGTCATGGTTTGATCATCATCCTGCTCATCCTCCATATCATCCACCTCTTCCTCGTCATCGTCATCAATATCATCTTGATCACTTCCATTCTCTTCTGTAGGTTCTTGAGCTGCCATCTTTTCCAGATATTGGACAATGGAACGATACACCTCACGACGCCATTGGTCTTTGCAGGCTTTACGTGATCGACCCACCTTGCATGCAATAGGGCCCCAACGAAAAGTAGACATGTCCTCCAATTGCTTATCTTCTGCGATGGCCAAAAACAGCTTGAGACGCTCATGAGCCTGCCACCGAGGTCGAACTTTGCCTCCTTTTGCTCCACCGCCAGCACGATGGATCACGCTGCTACTGCTACTGCTTGTGCTGGTCATGGTAGTCCGACGAGGGCGGTGATGCGTTATGTCAGTAGTAGTGGTACTACTACCACCACTGTTGTTGCTTGCAATTCGACGACGACGAGTTGTTCGAGTAAGAGGAGGAGATGGTGATTGGATTCTACCACTCTCAGCGGCAATAGCGGCCTTATGTTTCTTTTTGGATGGCATTGGATCTTGATCTGTAGCATGCGTAATCATTTGTATATCCATCATGGAGGATGAAGGTGTTGTGACAAAAGATGGCGGATCCATATGATGAAGCCGATGATGAAAGGATGGAGGTGAAGGTTGAGATGAAAGTAAAGAATCGATAGGAGGAAGCATAATGACAGGTTCCTTTCTCATGTTGAGTAAGAAGCTAGCTGCTTGAATATCTTCAGACGACATGTTCCAAAATCAAGGGGTGGATGATGGGGAAGATTATATAGGGAAAAGATGGGTATAGGTTGTTGTTGTTGATGTAGGAAAGAAAGAAAAAGAAGAGATGGCTCATGCTTTTTATATTGTCATGACTCTAATATTGGATACAAAGTCTCCATGTCTTGCTGCTATGGGCTCCTTTATACACATTGCCCGTGTATGTAATTCATCCACGGTTGTTGTTGCGTGTCTTTTATGAGTAAAAGTGGGTATAGGCTTGTGTGTGTGTCCTTTCAAAGTGCCCCAAAGTGCTCTTTCTCTTCTTTGTCACAGGAAAAGAAAAAGGGGAAACATGTAAATGCGAATATGTGCTTCATTTTGTGATTCTTGTCAGTGGAACTCGTTTCATTTGCTCATTATGGATCTGCCCTTGATTATAGTTTGTTCTTTGTTCATCCATCACGGGGGCAATGCATTGCATTCGAAAAAAGATTCTTTTGGAGATGGTTGATGGTGAAAAGATAATGACTCTTTTTTCTTTAATGGAGCAATTTGAGAATGTTGAATGTCAAACAAATGCACATGACCATCACTCCATAGATAGCTAAACAAACGGCCGTAATCTTGCCTGGTTTCCAAGGGTCATTCTCATGGATCTTGTAATAGAACAGCCCCGGAAGAATGAATGAAATCGTGGTCGATCCTGTTGATCCAACAAATGCCAGCACCTACAGATATGGTCCGTGTTGCCACGTGGATGCATGAGTATGTGCGTAAATGAAATATAAAAAGTTGCCAAACATACCACATCAAGCTGGGTAACGGTGATTGCAAGAGCATAGCTGCCAATCAAAATAGCAGTGGTCATTATAAAATACTTGATTGCTGATGGTGGAGGTGGCACTTTGAGACCACGTGCTTCGGGAGTACGCCATGCAAGGATCTTGTCTAATGAGGCACGGCATGGATGGGCTTGTAATGGGTAACTGAACACCACAAGAATGACAATGGCAAGTCTTCCACCTGCTACAAAGATGCTGGGAGGGTCTATCATCCATCCATGTTAATATACAAAGCGTGGTTGCCATGGCCTATCATTCATCAAACTTACATTCGAGGATAATGTTTCCAAGCACATCCTTGCCAAATGTCAAGTATCCCAGGATGCCAATAGCTTCGTAAATAGTGCATGCTGTACCAATGGAGTATCGAATGACGGAATTGATTTGACGTTGGCTGTTATCCTTGAGCTCATTGTATACGGAAAAAATCTATGACCTTGTCAATGAGACCACCACTGGAATGAAAGGCGAGGGGGGGGGCGCGGTTGTTCTACTACTTACGTTTTGATGGCAAGTAAAAGCGAAAACAAAGACCGGCAAACGACTGAAAAAGTCCGAAGAAAAAGTAGCGTATTCTATGACGGGAGGGTGGACGGGATTGGAAATGGAAAAGAAGTAATAAAGAACAATGGTGCAGAGGTAAACGACAGCAATCAATGCAACAAGGCTGGTATATTTGAGAGAGTCCAGCTTTCTCAAGAAACTCAATGGCAAAATAGCGCTCGCCATAAATACGGTGATCCAGAAGCGTCGATCAGTCAATATAGGATCTTGAGCATAATCCGAGAATGAAGCAACCACCTATGTATGCATGTAACACACATGTCAGATCGACCATGTGTATGTGTGTGTACACGTGTAACACCAACCTGGGGCATGAGATCGCCAATGATGATAAGGTAACTGACACCGACACCAAAGCACTTGATCGCAATAGCCAAATCAAAGAAGATCGCCATCCCAGGCCATGTCAATTTGGAAATAGCGAAAAAAGAAGCGTGTCGTCCATCGGTACGTGATGCGCATTGTGACAGAAAGAATAACCCCATTCCGGATGCTGCTGCCGATAGCATGACTACCAGGATACCAGGTATCAGACCAATCGAAGCTAAAGCTGCAGGCTGGGACACTATTTAGTTGGTATGCACAAGATGGGGGGGGAGGGGAGATCTGATCGTTCCTTACCATGGCTAAGAGTCCTGTACCCAAGATGGTGTTGAGGAGGTTGATCGAACAGCTCATGGGCGATGCTACTGCCAAGTCGTTGGTCTCGCAGCCTTCAATGTCATCGGGTTGGGTTGTGATCGATGTTGCTGCTGATGAAAGAAGGGGTCGTTGATCCTCCAAGTAGTTTGTAATGTTGTCTTGTGTAGTAGTAAAGATAGATGATGATCCTTGTATTGATGAGATGGATGAGGCTGTTTCATAAGGTTCTATTCGTTGGTATCTAGCAGTAGAGGACATAAAGATGCGTCTGTGTGTGGGGGGAGGTAGTATAAAAAGGGAGGTGGTGGAGGAAAGAAGGAGGATAAGGCTGTGTTCCTCCGCTCCAGGAGGAGGTGAATGAAATGCTTCTGGAATCCAGCCTGTAAATATTTACGTGAAGATGCAGTAGTCGTATTCGACCCATTATAGCCAACTACGTGTTGCTGACGCCAATGAAAACCAAGTGACCCCACCCCAAAAACGTTGCAAAGCCTATTTTGGTCTTGTTCTCAAATGTCACATTGTATCGTATTACCATCTTAAACAACCTTGTCTTTTCCTGCATCTGGTAAACCAAAGACATGCAAACATCATCCGTTGGTTTATTGCCATCCCAAAAAAGTGATCATTTTGTTGCGTTCTTGTACACGTGGAGGTATAACAGATCGGCGATATGTTGCTTTATTTCACCGCCTGATAAATCATATGCAGCGAAGGTGTGGTGAAAGGCTCTCTGCCAAATTGGGGGACCATGGCTAGTTGCGTTTGCACCATCCTTTATTGAGACCCAGATGGGAAATACATAGAACAATGCATCTGGAACGTTCAACATTGGTATACCGTATCGACTTCCTCCCATTCCCAACTATGGCAAAATCTACAGCATGTGTACGACTCTGCTGCTCCAGCCCATCATCTCCATCCTTCAACTTTCTTGATCCGACGAAGGGATTCTTTGGCCGACCAATGCTGGGACAGCTAACCTGTCACTTCACAAACTATCATGCATCCTATTTATAATCTCATCCGTTCATTGTCTCTCACCCACATCACACCATCCTATGCAAAAATTCCATAATGAAGCATGAGGTCTTTTTAGAGAAACATAGTCAGCATGACCAAGAGCACCTTGTGTGAAAGTTTGAGGTTCGAGAGGAACGATCTCATAATCAAGGATTGGATGTACAGTGTTCATGCATTAATTTCCACTTCTTCCACTCTCAGCTTCTTCCCTCTTGCTTCCTTTCTCAACAGTTGGCCCATTCAAGTATACAACTACAACCTGCGAACGATTGTCGTGCTTCATTCCACCATGTCAATCCTACAATTGCCTTGATCCCAACGACTTCGACTGAATGGCAAGCCCATGGCATGCACACTCTACTACAGCACACGAGCCTCTTGACACAACACACGCTCTTGCACACTCGTCGACCACAATCAAACGTATCAGCATTCATTGCAGCAGTTGCCATTCGCTCCATTGTCTCAAACAGCGTTCACAACCTTGTCTCTCTATTACTACACACGCTCTTGCACACTTTTTTGCCACGACCAAACGTAGCAGCAGTTGCTATTAGCAAGGTCTTCACTCCGTTGCCTCAAGTTACGTGTAGCAACGTGTTTTGATACGTACGGATTCCTATGGATGATGCCATATCAGCTACCAAGTTCACAAGCAATCTTCGCCTGGTTGAGCTTCGATGGAAAATCACCAAGCAAGCGATGGCCAACGACCGGATGGAAAAGGGAAGCATATCAGCAGTGATCACGTGGCTCTTTTCAACCAACCTATTGGATTTGAAGCCCATGGATGGATGGATGCAATCAAGTGCAGTGACGAGGAATCCTGGAATGTTGCTCTGGTTACATACTTGTCGCGTTGTTGTAACAGAAACGATGGACGTGAGTACGGTGAGGATGATGGTGGATTGGATGGTTTTGACAAAGGCGCTTATATCTTTGACAAAAGGTGTTGCACAGCCATGGATGATACTGGATACTCGAGTCAATGCATGCAGCACCTATTTTACTATCATGGATCGAGGATGATTATGGCGGCAGCAGCCAAGAACACAATGACACATGCCATCCCTGTTCCTCTATGTGATTCACCCCCTATATCTTATTTACTTGATAAACATCCACATTGCCATCTACTATTCTTCGACTTTTTCATTGAATGTAGATTGTGTTCAAAATGATATTTGGGAGGGTCTCGTGCTATCAGCTCATACGTGAGAGATCTGGATCGCTTGGTTGGTTTTCTGGATTGATTGGAAGTATAGACTTGTGAAGGTCGGAAAGCGATATCGAATCATTTACATCATCTTATGGATCGTGACGCTTTGGTTCCTTGTGACATGATACATTCGTTTAAGCTTCCTAGTTCACATGATGATAGATGAACGGTAGTGCAATTCTCAAACGCTTGTATTGCAAAGACAATAAATTCAGAGTGAGGGTGTCCATCATATGTAGTAGAGTGCTTGCTAGGGAGGCTTGGTTCATTGTAAGCTTATATCATTATGTTCAAGAAAGAGTGAGCTATGATAAAATGTGGCACGATTACATGGATATACCATGCTTATTTACGGCAAGTTTCAGCTAACGCTGTCTTATGCAGCCTTATATAAGAACGAACCATCCCATCGGGTTATCATAGTAGGCGGGTCGTACTATTAGGCGTACAGCTTCATGCATCTTTCCACCAATAGTACTGATCCTTCAAGTCTCGTCCGCTTGTTGCACCAACAAATCCCTCTGCATCTTTACCTCTAATGTGTGAGTGAGGCGATTGACAATGAACACAGAGCTCTTTTCATATAGTATCACGCTTACAGCATATGTAAAACATAAAGGTGCCTGTATCTCTAAACTTTACAATGAAACGTGGGGTTTCGAATAGAGCAATGTGCTCGGCTAGGCCAACAGCACCTTGTGTAAAAGTTTTACGATCAAGCTTGCCAATCCCAGATTTCGCAAATGTCGCCACCAGCCAAACTGGATCTGGGGGTCGACCTCTTCGACGACGACGACCAAAAAAATATTTTTTGGGCTAGTTGCGACATTGAACGTGAAACTTTCACACAAGGTGCTGTTGGCCAAGCCGAGCACATTGCTCTATTCAAAACCCCACGTTTCATTGTGAAGTTTGGAGACACAGGCACCTTTATGTTTGTAAGCGTGATGCTATATGAAGAGTGATCTTTGTTCATTGTCAAGTAGGTGGACCCTAGCAGAGCAAAAGATGCAGAGGGTCGTGTTGTGTAACACAGCTACGTTTGCATGAATGAAACGGCCAATGTATAATTACTTTATGGATCGTCTAGGAACAGGCATGTATTGCTAGCTAACGGCCACTTTTATCCAATCACTATTGTTGCGAGATCCACTGCATGGGAACGATGCCCCTGCTCCAGACATTCATTTCCATGATTAAAGTAGGTTGATCCGAGCTGATTTGACTGAGCTGCGGTCAAAGAGAGATTACATCACTCTGGACATAAAGCACGCTCGATGTAGCTCAACCGATGTAATCTTGTGTGAGCGTAACTCAACCAAATCAGCTCGGATCAAC